TGAATAAGTAATAAGTAACCTATTTTCATTTCCTGTAAAATGAACAGCACGAATATCAAATTCGTGCTAGTACAGCAGCAATTTAGCAAAGTTCCATCAGGCAACACTATAAAAATGCACGTTTTTCTGGACTTATCTGTGTTAATTACAGTAAAAGCGTCATATCACAAAATACGAATTCTCTTTCCTCTAAAGTAATACGTCCATAGCTTTAAACATACAATTGTTGATAATAATTCGAGAAGTTAAAACGTAAATGAGTATCTAAAGTGAAATCTGGGAAAATCTGATGAAAAAAATCCGGCATGAAACCAACCATCGTAACCCGACAGGCATGCCTTAGAAGAGAATATACTGCATTCGGTTTTGATCATTGATGATTCCTCTACGAACAACATCGAGATTCCGTTGTTATTGGGTAGAAAACTAACCCACCACAATATATGACTCATATATCTTTTTGAATATAACAAAACACCGTAATATAACCTGCAAAACTGATCCTAGCCAGTTAAGCAACCTACTCATAAAAATACGCCCCGGTCTAACACATCTTACCATAAAATTTAATATTCCTACCAAGCATTAAATATCGCGCAATTGTGCGAATTTTTTAATTGTCCAAGTATGCAAAATTTGCAGAATACATTCAGTTTATTATCAGGAATTTGAAGCCAAAGTTTACTGGTATTACATATATTATTACAAAACTCCAGCCTTTATATGAGACGCTTCTTCTAAACCACAAGAATCAAGTAAACGCTTCAATTCGACAAACACTTTATCAACTCTAGCTGTCAACTGATTCAACTCCCGTAAAATTATATGAATAGTTATCTATATCAAATCCCATTTGTCGAAACACGTAGGCGACAGTGTTTGTAACACGCTGACATATATGGAGTGCATTTCTTTCAAACCAAAATTTTGTAAACGTTGTGTGGCGTTTGTTGTTGTTTTCTAAACGCTACAAAAGTAGAAACAAATACATCGTTAAATCAGTGTTTACTGACCCTGTTTGAACTTCCAATAATGCATGCACATGTTGTTGGTAAACAGACTTTTTGCAAACGTAGAAACAAATACATCGTTTAATCAGGTTGAAGTTAGAAACAAATGTAGCGTTTGTACTAACAAACGATGAACGACAAACTGTAGACGCATTTTTAGCGAGTGCATAGTTTGTCAAAGTTTATGTAAACTTTGCAAACGTATGTTAGAAACAAATGATCAAAACATGTGCGCGCTTAGCCGTTTGCATCGTTTGTGTTAGAAAGAAATGCACTCTAAAGCTGATTACCGCAAACCAACGCATGATCATGTAAATCAATGAACGAATGTCAGTCCGAAGTGAAAAGATTACAAACCTTTTTTTGTTGAAATACATTATTGTAATGTTCTAAGATTATTGTTTATCTGTAGGTAAAGTCCCGATGAAGAACAGCAATACGTACGATCACCGTTTCTTATATCATTAATTTGTTATATATATGTAGATTTGCTTCATTGAAAATTTCCATTATATTTATATAGGACGCAAAATTAACAAATTTACTTCGTTTCGATCTTAGAGTGCAATGTTGAACTTTATTGAAAAATTTCGATGTCTATAACTGCTTTGGAACTAACCCTACCTAAATGAGGCATCGGATTTAACGTCCTTGAAATTCCAACCGGACATTGCTGCGTATTTTTACATCAATACACAGCCAAACGGACGCCCATTATTATAATTAAGCATGGGTTTTACTGTCGGACGCGGAAGAGTCCATGTGTGACCATATTTCTATTCCCCAGTCAATCCTCGTGTTTATAAAGATTGAGAACATATTAACAGTAAATCCAATAAGTAGGTTCTACAAAAGGGTCGATCGACATGAAAGGCGGAAACTGAATTTAAGACTGCCACTGAAAAGGTGTATATGTATAGGATACGTATCGTTGCATTCCGCAACGCCAGAAGAACGCCTCTTCACTGGCATATAGGCTTTACTGTCAAGAAATCTAGGTGAACATATTTCTATACATCAGTACAACATTTGGGTCATTCGTATGCAAAATAAAAATAAATTAGCTAATAGTAGATATCCATCATCGTAAAAAAATACACATGCAGTCGTATAACTATAAGATTATTAATCGACAAAGGGAATTTTTTCCTACTTATAAACATACATTTCTATCTGTAAATGTTGTCTTGTTTTTCTCTCTTTATTAATCCTTGATCACTTTTTTAAACGTTGTTCCTTGGAGCGGGGGATCTTGTCTATGAACATTTTTGACTTTTTCAATTCTTTATAACGAAATAATAGTTGTTTCCAATCATTGGGCATTAAAGCAATATATTTGAATGAAACTGCTGGTTAAAATTAATTCTCGTTATTTAAATTAAGACATGTCCTGATCAAAACAAAAATAACTTGCCAGCTCTTAAATGCTTTTTTACAGATTCTGTGATATTAAAGTTTAAATAAAGCAACCATGTTCTGTAATTTTATACGTTAAGAGAGGTTTGTCAAGATGCATGGAAATTGATCTGGCTGAACTACGAATTCGCCTCATATGAAAATAGGTACATGACAGAAGAGGAACACAGTTTGTTCCCATAAGAATGCTAAGGGTCTTTTGAAAATCACGTACAACAACGAAAAATTACGAAAAGACAAACACTAGTCTACAAAACACTGCATAACAAATTCAATACTGAGCACCACGAACCACACACTAACAAACAGGGTGATGCCAGGTGCTCCAGAAAGGCCACGGTAAGCATATCTTTCTATTCCACATGTGACATCCGTCGTGATGCTTATGGTGATGACAAATTCGATGTTAAGTCTCATTCGGTGCGGTCACATTCGAGGAAAAGAGAACCGGAGAATGGGTACGACAATTCGAACATGTTCGTGGTCATCTGTAACACAGATATTCAATATGAAGGCGTTGCTGGAACTAAAAAATCAAAATTGGAAAGCTTAGGTCATAGTATTACCGCATCTAAAAAATAACAATAATAATCAATATGCCACACGATTCACAAGAAAAGAGAAATTAAAAAAGATTTTATTATTCTTTCGATTCTCCTTCTTCCATATACTGCATGCATTAATTCAACATTTCGAAAACTGGAGCGGGTACGGTTTACAGGAATATGACAGTTGTTTTCCATTCGTTTAAGGTGTTTGTCATAAGCTCAAATTGAGCTTTTGATTTTGCCACTTTATATATAAAGGACTTTCATTTTTGAATTTCCCTGTTGAGTTCGGTATTTTTGTTATTTGTCCTTTTACAACTTTGAAAAGGCGCCAATTTAAGAAGATTTGAATAGCATATGTCGATGAGGTCATAGTTTCAATTCTTGAAAGGTATTAAAAAATTGAAAACAACATGTTTAAAAATTTCACGCGCAATACATTACACTGATGAGTGTTCTTTAAATTCAGAACGTTATATTTGTTATTTTCTTGTATAAAACAGAGACTGGGAACCCAAACTAGACACTGTAGCTCGATTCTCATCGTGAATATTCAAAATGACCTTGAAATACAAAGAAGTAGGTTCACGAAGGGCCCATACTTAAATTCCGTGAAATTTGACTTCAAATTTAATAAAAAAAATAAAAATTTGATGACATAATAAGTAATAATATTTGACAAATACAACAAGCTCTGGCACATTAGAACAATTAAGATGTAATTATATGACGTTATAATTGTGCACTGTAATGAAGGAAATCATAATTTTTACTCAGTAGCTTTTGCATAAATTTTGATGGTTGACGGATGTGGCCAATGTTTTTCAGATTGCAGAAAAATTGAACCGGCCTCACTAAATTCATAAAAAAAGACAATTTGGCTACAAACTACTAATTTATCCTACTTTGGTCAAAATGGGGCAAAAAAGGAAAAGCAGACAACAAAAGTGTTTGTTTTTTTATCTAAATTTGCATACTTATGATCGTTTATATAGGTTATATATATTATTACAAAGTTTGATTTAAGGCCAATTTCATGTCGAATCCGGGTCCGTTCGCGCCCAATCACGTTCGCCCCCATGCACGTTCGCCCCCCTTTCACTTTCGCACCTTACACGTTCGCACCCAAAGTCCGTTCGCACCCTACACGTTCGCGCCCAATTCTTATTGGTTTTGTGTTTAATAATTTGTAAACGAGTTTTGGTAAGTGTATTGCTATAAATATATATTTTTTCATTGTTTCTAAATAAAGTGAGATTCTGACAAGGTTTTTTTTGTGTCATGGTAAATGTATTGCTATAAACATTTTTTTTTCATTGTTTTTAAATAAAGTGAGATTCTGACGACCAGTATTTTATTTTTGTGTTGAATAATTTTTAATCATGTTTAGGTAAGTGTATTGCTCTCTATATATCTATATCTATATATATATATATAAATAATTTTTTTCATTGTTTCTAAATAAAGTGAGATTCTGACACACATGAGATCAAAGGAGCCAAGCTGTTAAAAACAATTATCTTTCATGTTTTTTATTTAAAATCTTCAAAGTTTTACTCAAACCAAGCTAAATACATGCAGTATTTACATTTAAAGCAAGTTAAAACAACCATGACAACAATCATGATTTTTAAACACCCAACAATAACATCATATTAGGCTGTGTATAAATACCAATTAGCAGTAATCATACATAATTAACATTTAATAATTAATCATCAAATCAATTTAAAACAATATTTCATTTAAAAATTCCCGAATTTTTATTTATGAAAATAAAAATATTTTACAAAACATCTAAAAATTTATCAGGTATTTGAATTAAAATAAGGGTGCGAACGTGTAGGGTGCGAACGGACCTAGGGGGCGAACGTGTGGGGTGCGAACGTGTAGGGTGCGAACGTGTATTGGGCGCGAACGGACCCGATACCTTTCATGTCTTTGTGGCCATAGGCCTACTTCTTTAGAAAAATACGAACGGGGTTCAGACTCGGGGCCACTGAAGTCATGTTTTAGCTAACCCGGAAACTTGTAAAGGGAGTTAACTGGACCTTGCTGATTGAAACTTTCATCATTTTTTAATTTACGTTTGCGAAAGAAAATATTTATGGCAACTCATATGGTTCTAAGAATAGTTCGTAATGGTTGTAGAAATCTTCCCAGGTATGGGTATATAATGCATGTGCCAAATCGATTTTGCAATTATCTGTTCTGTCTGTTCATCAGTTTATTTATACTGGAGCAGGATCAGTTCACCAGATTATGTAATACAGAAGCAGGATCTGCTTACCCTTCCAGAGCACATGAGATCATCCCCGGTGTTTGGTGTGGTTCGTGTTGCTCAGTATTTAGTTTTCTTTATTGTGTTTTTTGTGCTGTTTGTATTCTTTTCCATCCTTTTTCATATTTTGCCATGGCATTGTCAGTTTGTATTCGACTTTAGTTTAAATAATTAGGATGTCTTGTAGTAAGAAGGCATCACAGAAAAAATTTGAAATAACCTTTGAAGACGTCATTATTTTTTGGAATATTTTGACTTACTAAATGCATGTACTTATGTTCATCATTTTAATCTATATCATGTATATATAACTGGTACATGTAACTTGACAATTTAAATTACTATTTACATATAGTAGTCTCAGTTATATAAGGGGAGCAGTCAACTTATCTTGTGATTACCTTAGGAGAGGGGTTTCAAATACATTTTTACCACAACTGACAAGTCAAAAGTTTTTTTTGTCATAACCAGACTTCCTAATTCCAATGATTATTGAAAAATCTTAGTACAAATGCTGGAGTTATTGAGCAGCCTCTTCTACTATAGTTATCACATTTTTTATTTAAAAAAAACATGAATAATTACACTGTTCTGCGCCAAAGGCCTTTTTATGTTTAGTTTCTGGTTTTGCTTTTTTTCTAGTTCCTTTTGTTTGTTTAAATTATTTAGCCTTAAAAACTATTCCATTTTGAAATTACTATTTCATAATTTGCCTCAAGATTGAACGTGTTGAACTTTCAGAAAAGTATAAAAAATGGCTTTCAAATCTGGTCAACAAATACAATGTCCATCCTGTATTTTGCTTAAGATAAACTTACATGGACCATATAGGAAGGTAAAATAAATATTAAATGTTTTATTTGTAATTCACTGATACTCAACTGTATGCATAATACATTTATTTCAGTCATGTCAAGAAATTAAAATCCGTGAGGTGGGGATTGTATAGTAGGTTTCAGCATGCTGATTCATACAGTGTCAAGGTCATCATAATAATGTTTTAGTTTGCCAATCGCCATAAATAAACTGTTTAGGAGCTAGGAATATCATTTTTAGTAACACTGCACATTGAAATTAGTTTTATAACAGACCTAAAATTCATGAACCTTTGACAATATAAGGCCTGACAACTGTCAAAATACTTCAACTGGCCAGAGAATTTTTTTTCTGGCAAGTTGAAGTATTTTATATCACTCACCACATTGGCGAGTTACATGTACCAAGCATCAGTGCTCGCCATATTCGTTTTTTACTCGCCTTTGGCGAGTTGGCGAGCGAAGGTTTCACACACTGACTCTCTTTTAATACACCTTATTGCTATTTAGTCCACTATGGAAAAATAGTTACTTAGACAACTTCCTGTTGAGGTCAAGTGGAACAAAACAAAGGTCATCAGCAATGAGCTGAGGGAGGAAAAAGTTTGGAAAGTGGACATTTTTAAAAATTTTGATAGTTTTAAGAAGCAATTTTTAAAAGACAAATTAAAGTCACTAAACATGCTTTGTTTGATGTGTTTACAATGGTTTAAACATGTCTCTATGAAAAGTTTTATGCACAATACTTTGTTTGAACAAGGGCCAAGATAGCTTCAACTGGTTAGAAAAGTTGTGTAATTTTAGAACTAATCCGGATGTTTATAAAAAATCCAGAAAAAACAAAAATCCTGAATGAAGTTTAATTGCCACTATGATGATGTTGAAGGTTTTTCAGGGCCATGGTATATATACCCAAATCAATCCTTTTACCATTTATGCTGGAGCATGTAAGAAAAAGGGGGAATCTGATACTATTGAAATAGATTTTGATTTTTTCACAAACAATATTCTCTCAGAATGGTAATCTTTGCTTTAAAAACTTTTCAAACCACCTGCTATACATGTAGCTATATATATATAAATCCTACATTAAAGGTTAAAAGTAAGCAATTAGGATCCAAGATAGTTACATTTATGCAAATTTCAGAAAAATATTATCTCAGTGCCTCCCTACATCTCACATATTTTAATCCCAATATCTTTTATACACATTTCATTTTGACAACCTGATGACAATATATGTTGAAACTCTGGAAACTATTTGTTTTTGTATGGAAAATTGAAAACTATTTTGTAGCTACTCAGGAACATATATATTGACGGGACTTGACACTACCTAATTGTAGCCGATTTTATCGTCAGGTCATAGTTAATAAAGACACGATACAGAAACGGACATGTTTTAAAAACATACTCGCTATTATCCTAATAATTTCTGATAATATCAATAAAATGTCATTCAAACTAAGTTTTAAAGAGATGCCAATGTATTGAACTTGTAATCAGTCACTTCAAATTTGTTATAATCGCATTCATTTCATCACAGAAGGGTACAAAATGCAAACGGGGTAATAAAAAATGGTGCCGATTGCATTTCCAAATTCACAACCATTAAAAGACACTTCAAATCAAATAAATCACACTTATTTTTGTCATTTTATATGACAAAATATATCTACTTTATGACAAAACTTGTATTTATTTACGATTAGAATTATGTGGTTAATTTATTGAGCAGTTCCGATAGTTTTTCAGTCAGACGCTACCAAAATCCATAAATCTCGCAAAGTCTCGTATAGTCAGAGATTTTATCAATTTTATACTGAAAAGGCTATCAGATTCATTTTTGTTAGATATACTGTTCCCAGAGCTACTGTAGCTTTTTCTGGAGCATGGAAATGTACATGTTCTGTGAAGTGAAACTTTTTTAAAGACCAGATAAAAACATTGAGGTTGACACAGTTTTGATTATTTGAAATATGCATGAATCAGGTATTCAGTGTTGGTAGGAGATTTTTTTTTTTTTTTAATAATATTTGGGCAGAACTGTTTGACTGTGTCAAAACTACACTTTAATTTTTTTCATTATAAACTAGAGAAAATTCTGATTCCAGTGATATCTATTTGCATACAAGTATCTTTATAAACAAAAGCACCAATAAAGGGTCACTTATGCATGGTCTTCCAAATTATGACAAACATTTTATTGCAACCTTTATGTCTTGTCAAAACCTTTTCAGTATTAAAATGTGTTTCCTTTAACAATACCATGTTTACTGAAGTAGCTTCTTTAGATGAAGTGGAGACAATAGATAAAGTTCACTAAAACAGTTCCACCTAGTTATCATTGTTTTGAAATATCCTGTTTAGTTATTGTAAAATCTTTTCCCCTAGCCAAGCCCTCTATTGAAAACAAACACTATGTAGTTTAAAGATCAGATTATATGTAAAACATATTATATGAAATAAGCTGTTTCTGATTGGTAATTTGTAAACATGTAAGGACTTTACAGGACCAGTTAAGATTATCAACATCCTGTCTTTTAGTCCAAAGGTTTTCATATTAAGATCAGTTACTTTTACAAAGTTTTATTGAAACATTACAATAACTCAAGAGTTGATTTGGACTGACAGACAAGTAATCAATTTTTTTGGACAATGTTTATGCTTGGGGCTTCATATAAGTATTATACTCCTTACAGCATAAAAGTCAGTTCCCTAAATTTGCACCTCAAGTACATATTGTAAGTATAATAAATTGATTTATAAAGATTTTATTAATTCAATGTAGATGAATGATCTTTCTGCAACATTTACAAGAAATTTATACTTTAGTATTCACTAAATACTGACAAGTCAGTCTTTCTCACTGGATTAGAATAGTTGTAAACTTTATAGTGTCTATTTATTGCAAGTTGATTGTCTGTGATTAAGAAAAACTTCAAACGCCAGGCTCAGGCCTCTGACTGGAAGAATTTTAAACACACTTACAAATTGAAGAATACTATGCATAATACAAAAATTGTGAACTGAAGATTATTTGAAACTGAACTATAAAAGTATGTAAAATAATCGGATAGTTAATCAAGTTTGACATAGTTTATTTTTAATTTTTTGTTTATATTTTTCAGATCAGGAAGAAGGTCCTTTAGCAGTAACCCTTTAAACAGTAATGGTACTGGGGATATCGCAAATGTACCTCTGTCTCAACCAATTCCTGGATTACCTCCTCCTAGATTTACTTCAGTAAAGGCTAGTAAGAATGAGACACAAGTAACAGTTTTAGATAATGGTCTGACAGTGGCTACAGAGAATGTTTTTGGACAGTTTTGCACAGTAGGAGGTAAATTTTTGCTTAACAACATAAATTTTTTTTTACCAACATTCGTAGAGACTCTATACCAGTATGCAAACTCATTCACAATTGGTTCATAGAAGAAAGTTTGATGTCAAAGCAAAAGTGATAAAGGAATATCTTAAGTATGTTTGTACAAACTATTACAAAATATTCAACAATTGAAGGCAGTATACACCAAGATGTACACAGGAATAAGAAGACTATCAAGAAAATCTTATATCTGCAGTGTGTTTTGAATATTTTCATTAATTAGACAATTCCTTTAAAATAATGGAACATTTAAAAAACATATGCATTTGTATTACGAATACACATGATACAAGGAATTGTGGAGTATACATTTTTTGTACATCACTGATTCAGCAACCCAACAACACAAAAAGAAAAAAAACATCTAAGATAAAACTCTCCTATGTTATCTTAATTTAAACATCATGAAGTGAAATGAAAATTATCCTGATTTGCTATTTGAGCATGCATTATTTGGGAATAAGGGTAAAGACAGGTTGTTTTGGAGTATGATTTATCTCTGGTTGGGGTAACATGTCTACCTTATGCATCAGTACATGTACTAATTTGCTATTGTATTGTTCTTTGATCTATATTTTCTTTTTATTTCAGTGCTGATTAACTCAGGATCCCGTTATGAAGTAGCTTACCCATCTGGTATATCACATTTTTTAGAAAAAATAGCTTTTGGAGTGAGTTTTATACTTTAAGTTTCTTCTGCTTTTTATGCTAAAGATAAATTTTCAAGCCAGTACTGGTATTTGTTGTAAATTATAATAAAAACATAGAGGACATTTAATTTGAGGTTTAAACAGTCATTCCCAGTATATATGGACAATTTGATTGGTATAACATTTAAAGCTGCCTTAAAATCATACATTTTGATATCTGTCTGCAAGAAAAAAAGACTAATTTAAAAAAAAAAAAGGATGTTAACTTTATGAATAGTGCAAATGGCAAGATCAATTTCTAAACAGTGAAATTGCAATAGGAAATTTGAATACATGACAAAAGTATAACAGTTTATATGAGGAACTGTTTAAGCATGCCCCCTCCTTTTCCTTCATCTATAGAAGACATAGGGTAAAGGAAAGGCACAACAAACACATTCTAGTATCGAAAATTTTTGTCATAGGACATACTATTTTTCATACATTAACAATTTATGATATGTGGGAGGACATGGACCATGTGAATGAAATCTATGGTACACTAGAAAGGTCTTGAAATGTTATTTTAGAATATATATGGTTTAGAGGTTGACATCTGGACAGTTGTACAAATATTTGAACAACATATAATAACAACAGGGACTGGTAGTAAGGAAAAAACTTTTGAAAATTTATACACACAATCCTAATTCAAAGGTATATGATCACGACAAACCTTATCACTGGCGTGTTAGAGTTAAGAACATCCCCTGCTCTGCTGAGGATGGACAGATTACGAGGGCGGTAGAAAATCTAGGAGGAATAGTCCACACATTAGACAGAGAGCGACTCAGAGTTGACGGTTTACTCACCAATTGCCAAACAGGTGACAGGATACTATACTGTGAACCTATGGAAAAAGTCTTGCCTAGAACCCTAAGAATCGGTAAATATATGGCTGTTTTGTTACACAAAGAGCAGAAAACTGATTCTTCTCAGCTCACATGTAACAAATGTCTGCAAACTGGGCACAGGCTCAGAGACTGTCCAAATCAATGGGTATGTACATCATGTAATAATCCCGGACATAAAAAAGCTGAGTGTCCCAATTTCGGGACCACAAGTGACAACGCCCAAGACCAGCCAGTCAATGTCAACAATAATGGCATACATGAACCAGAATCAGAAGATTTGACAAGTGAAGACGAGAATATAACTAAAAATAAACAAACAAACACTACAAATATTGGAACCACTAATCAGTCTCCGTCTTTTTTAAAAGATTTCAATCTCACAAGCGCAAGTTTCAGCTATAATGCTTCAAATAAAAGTGATGCAGCTCATGATATGAATGAGCCTGAACACCAAGGCAATTCAGCAGCTAAACATAACAATGAAATTAAAAAAGCAAAAGCAAAAGCTAAAGCTAAAAAAAAGTCCGGCAAAAAAGACGGTCAACAACAACTGAATAAAGACAACGAGGAGAATCCTACTCAACCAACATTATTCTTTCACTTCCAAGGGAACGACAATGTTGGAACACCGGATGGTCGTAAAGACAAACGCCCAGCAACAACACCAACTGACCAAATTCATGAACGCACATCAAATATTCAGAAACCTAAGGGACCCTAACTATCAGCAATCACAACTAAATGTACATACACTTTATATACATTAAATAGTATAATTATCTAGCTAATTTCATGAACATTTGTATATATTTACTTTCTTTCTGTGTTTTTATTTACAGTGTAAAAAAAAAGAAAAAAAAGAGCATTTTGCAATAAAAGATTGTATGTGTTCGATTGATGTTATGGTAAACATAAATAGTGTTTTCATTTTATGTTTTTTCATTGCTTTTACTCATTATGTAAAAAAACAAAAAAAAGAATATGATATAATATTAGATTATATGTGTTCGAATGATGATATTGAAAATGAAAATGGCTTATCTTCCATATTTTGTATTTGTGTTGATAAGAATAGTATACTAACCAATCAAAGAGAGGAATATGATACAACCTTGGATCATATGTTCTCAATTGACGATATAGAAATAGAAAATAGTGTAATGTTTAATTTAACTTATAGGTATGAGAGATTTTATTCTCAAAACATCAACAAAAATATTTGTCTGAAAGAACCAGCTAATTATAAAACAAGCAATAAACCTATGAAAAGAGAAATTTTTTATTTACTAGTAAACAAACGATCATTAGTTCTACTGTTCACTTCAATATGCTGCGTAAGTTTCATTCAGCTCATCATCAAAGTGTATTTATGCATTGATTGTATAAACGAATCTTCTTTTTTCTGCAATTTAAACAAGGATACATGGAAAGTATATCAACCATTAAATATTCCTACGAAATTGCACATATGGTACGCAACTAGTACACCACCATATACCGCATCACACACGGGAAGTACAAAACTAAATACATTTATATATCTTTGCACCATATTATCCAGACACAAACACTCCTCAACTAGCTATGTTAATCCTTTTGACGCAGTATATTCACTACAGGTACAGAACAGTATTGTTTTAAAACACATGACACACACAGCTTTAAGTGAATATTCATAGTTATAATGTCGTTGAGTGCTCGAACAATCCTTACTGAACAATCCAAATATCTGAAAATAGAAAAAGTAATTTCTGAAAATCAATCTCCTATACACATACATGTACATTCTACACCTTTGAAAAAAGTAAAAACATACATAAATCTATCAAGTTTACAGCACAAAGTAAGGTCAAAGAGAACTGTAGAACTGTATTATTGTAAAAACCAATATTTTTATGACACACGTATATTATATACACTTATGTATGCCTACTATTATACTTTTATTTGTATTGTATACAACAACTTAGAACAGTTAGTTAAGATATCGATGTATATCTATGTAGAAATCTTTGCTAATACATGAATAGTTTCTAATTTAGATGAGTAATAATTTAAATATTTGCTCCTTGAACTGCCAAGGGTTAGGACAAAAAGAAAAAAGAGTTAGACTACATATCTGGTGTGAAAATCAAAAATGTGACATCTTGTTTATTCAAGAGTCCCATTTCATTGATAAAAACATAAATACAATAAACAGTGAAACTAAAAGTAAGATATACCACAGCTTTGGCAATTCCCAATCTAGAGGTGTTTCAATTTTAATTAAAGATAATATAAATCACAAAATAATAAATGAAACTAAAGATGAAGAGGGTAGGTTTATTTTAATTAATGTTGAACTTGATAATAACATCTTCACTTTAGTAAATGTATATGCACCAAATATACAAAGAAATAGAAATTCTTTCTTTAAAAAAATAAGCAACTTAATTGAGAATAACAGATTAGGTATTTTAATACTTGGAGGGGATATAAACGAAAGTCTGACTGAAAAGGACAGAAAAAGTACGAGTACACAAAAATTTAATAAACCTGTAAATAGTTTAAAGCAGTTAATAAAGAAACATAAGTTAATTGATATATGGAGAGAAGTTAACCCAAACAAAACACAGTTTACCTGGAGAAGGAAAAATAACTTTAACATAGCAAGCAGGATAGATTATTTTCTTATCAGCTCCGACATAAGACCACATATTACAGCAGCAGATATTAGACCAGCTGCTATTTCTTACACTGATCATCAAGCAATTTCGTTAAAGTTACGACACAAAGCACAAAGCAGAGGCAGAGGTTTCTTTAAAATTAATAATAGTATACTGAACGACATACAATATCAAAATCTCATTAATAATTTGATTCAAACTTACAAACAAAAAATACTTACAAAGGCTTTAGATCCTCAAGTTAAGTGGGATGTTTTTAAAGCTGAAGTAAGGGACATAACCATAAAATACTGCAGGCAAAAACAAGCTGAAAATAAAAATGAAATAATTAAATTAGAACTGTCATTAAAAAAATTGAATGAAAATGTAGAAAACTTCCAGGATAATAATGTTCAAAATAAAATAAACAATGTTGAGAAAAAACTAGAAAACCTTTACATAAATGAAGCAAAGGGAGCTCAGGTTAGATCGCGTGTAAAATGGACAGAAGAAGGAGAAAAAAACACAAATTTTTTTATAGGCCTTGAAAAATCCAGACAAACTCGTAAAAATATTTCTGCCCTTTCGAATGAAAAAGGAGAAACTATAACAGATTCATCTGAAATTCTAAAGTTAGAAAAAAACTTTTATGAAAACTTATATAAAAGTACAGATCCTAATGAAAATGAAATAAAAAAATATATAAAAGAAACAAAAGTAGATAAAACTCTTTCTCAGGAGGAAACTCAAAATCTAGAAGGGGAGCTTACTATAAATGAATGTACAGAAGCTATTAAATCCATGAAATTAAATAAATCACCAGGTATTGACGGGCTCAGTGTAGAATTTTATCGAACCTTCTGGACAAATTTAAAAGAAATTGTTGTAAAAGTATTTAACATATGCTATCAAAAAGAAGAAATGAGCACACTACAAAAAATAGGGGTAGTTTCTTTATTATATAAGAAAGGAAACCCTCTTCTTTTGGACAACTATAGACCAATTACTTTACTCAATGTTGACACAAAACTTATGGCATATTCTTTAGCATTACGTCTTAAGCCAATACTAACTAAAATTATCCATAGTGACCAAAATGGTTACATAAAAAATAGGTATATAGGTTTCAACATTCGTCAGATTCAAGACATAATAGACCATGCAGAATACTATAATATTGAAGGAGCAATGCTCTTCATAGATTTTTCCAAAGCTTTTGACTCATTGGAATGGCCATTTATGTATGAAGCACTAAAGAAATTTGGACTTCCAGATCTTTTTATAAAATGGGTTAAAACTCTGTATAAAGATATAAAAGGTTGTATGTTAAACAATGGGTGGGTCTCATCGTCATACAACATTAAGCGCGGTATTAGGCAAGGCTGCCCGTTAAGTTCCCTGATTTTTGTTATTGCCGTAGAAATTTTGTCCTGCAGAATAAGACAAGACACCAACATCAAAGGTTTTCAAATTAAGCTAGATACTAAAACACATAGTTTAAAGATCTCACAATTAGCTGACGACACAACACTTTTTCTAAAATCAAAAAATGAAGTATGTCACACTCTTAATATTATTGAAATCTTTGGAACACTATCAGGTTTAAAACTTAACAGATCAAAAACAGAGGGCATTTGGTTAGGAAAATTAAAACACTGTAAAGATAAGTTTGAAAACATAAAATGGAATAAAGGACCAATAAAAAGTCTAGGAGTTTATTTTGGAACAAATCGAGCTGAATGTGATAAGCTTAATACTGAAAAAATAATACAAAAATGTGATAAATTAATAAGTAATTGGAAAAAAAGAAATCTTACAATGATAGGTAAAATAACAATTGTAAAATCTCTTCTTATACCAAACCTTACATATTTGGCTTCAGTCACAAACCTACCACATGAATTTATTCAACAGTTTAAAACCCTTATTTATAATTTTATATGGGATGGTAAAAAAGAAAAAGTAAAACGAACCATATTAAGTAAAGATACTACTGATGGAGGTCTTAAGATGACAGATATAGACAATTATATAACTGCACTACAAATAGCATGGATTAAAAGACTAACTGCAGATAATTTTGCTAACTGGAAAGTGATTCCAACATTTTACTTCAATAAATTTGGTGCTAATTTCATGTTACTTTACATGAATCCAGATAACATTTACTCCATACAAAACCTACATAAAACTTTACCAAAATTCTACTTAGAAATTGTAAAAACCTGGTTCAAAGTACAAAATTTAAATAACACCAAACTCACGATGAATTTTAAAAACATTAGACAACAAATCTTATGGGGAAATAAAATGATAAAGTTTCAAGGAAAGTGTTTAATTTTTATAAAATGGATAAAAGAAGGTATTATGTATGTTAATGATATTATTGACCAGAATGGTAACATCTCTCAAGATATAATATCTAATAAAATACCCTCAAAATCCAATTTAATGTTTGAAATTTCAAAAATTAAATATGCTATACCAAATGAATGGCTCAAGACACTTAAATCAGATCAATCAATAAAATCAAAAGTAAAAAATAAACTTAACCTTTGTATTAAGACAAAAGAAAAAAATAAGATGACAAATTTACAAGCAATGGTAACAAAACAGATATACACACACATTAATAGTAGAAATGAAGACATACCTTCAGGTTTCTTAAAATGGAAACGTGTACTAAATTTAGATTCTTTAATCCCAATTAAATCAATGCTAAATTTCGTATTTACTTATTTAAAAGATAACAGATTAAAACTATTTAAATGGAAATTGTTGCATCATATCCTTCCTTGTAAACAACTGCTCTTTCAATGGAAGATAAAAGAAGACAGTAAATGTGACTTATGTAATGAAACAGAAGATTATAAACATTTTTTTCTGGAATGTCAATACTTTGAAGCTTTTTGGGAAAAGATCAAAATACTATTAAATAAAGTTAAAATTGGTCATCATATCCTAAACTACAGAAATCTCATAGTAGGATATAAAATCTGGGACATCAATTATTATGACATAAATCTTTTGGTAACACTCATTACATTTTCCATTCACAAGTGTACTCACATTTCAAATTATAAAACTACAAATCTTGATGTATATGCCCTGTTCAAAAAAGATTTTTTGAACTATTTAAATATTTCGACACTAACAGGAGTTAAACATGGTAACATTTTGAAAGAAATAAGCTTGTACATATAATTATTATTTTATGCATATATGTTATATGCTATATTTATTCAGCAATACATGTGTCTCATCATTATTTAATCTTTAGACCACGTGTTGTGGACTTCGTCATGATCATGATCAGTGATAAAACATTAAACCCCAATTATCCTAAAAGCAGCCTTACTTCTTTTTTAAATCATATATTCACAAATAACTAAACTGATATAAACACATCAATTCGCAACCAAGTATGTATACCTACATAATTAATAATAAGTACAAGCAGCTTCGCCAGTTAGCTTGCCTCCATCGTATGATCGTTGATCAACAGGTCATGACCAGGTCAACTAACATATACAGAGTCAAAGCGGTCCACGATTGTAATTTTTCCGGAAATTAATTTCTGAAGTAATCTGTTGTATTGATACATAGAATGTAAATCTTACAATTTATTATTATTAATGTACTGAGCAATCTCCCTGTTTGTTCAGTAAAACTAATCCTACAGGGGTGCCCTGTCAAATGCTGTAGACATGGTATTCATTATAACAGCAATAGTGCAATAAATCAGATTTTAGATAAAAAAAAAAAAAAATAATAACAACAACAACACCAACAACATACTTTATTACCAATCATGGTAATATGAGAGGGGCAGGACATGACTCCATGTATCAAAAACTAATGGTAATTCAAAATATATATGAATAAAAGGAGATGTGGGAAATATGCCACTGAGACAGCAACCCAACATAAACATAACCAAATGACTTCTAGACTGCAAAACACAGTCTTCAAATTATATGGTTCAGAGGTCGGAATCTGAACAGTTTTCAAGAAATAATACAATTATTGAAATGGAGAGTGGGTCATGTCCCGAGGGGCAAAACCTATGATAAACCAGAAAGGACATGTCATTGCTATTAAGAATATATATATTTTAAGAGATATTTCACAGTTTATTATATGAGTAACCCCCTGGGATAAACCCTTACCCATCAATTATTTGTCTTTGAGGTCAAGGTAAGATTTCCTTGATATTCAACTCTGAGTTTTGGGGTGGTGATCCCATGTGTAAAATGTCAAAAGGATAAACAAGTAATGACAAAAAATGTAAACAAAAATTGAATTATTTGACCTCTAGGTCAAATGTCGAGGTCACATGAAGATTTTGATAAAACAGGATGCAAAGTCTTATTGTAATGTACCTTCATACTGAATATCATAATAAAATAATTCATTGCCAAAAGTTAAAAAGGTTATGACTCAGAATAAAAGAAAATCAGAAGCAGAACAAGAAGGAGAACAAAAAGAAGAAATACTTCTGAAAAAGATGTCTCCCTTCATCTAAGAAGAGGCAATTATATCAAAGAGGAGACAAATATATTTTTACGGCAGAACGAGATAAATACTGTTGCAGTAGGTTTTCCTTAAAAGGTGGAAAAAACTAATTACTTGTAAAGTTGTATGAAAATGCAGATAACAGTACTGTATTTTAGGTTTTTATTGTAAATTACAGTATAATTAAAAATAAAACTTTGAATACCAACATTTTTACCGCTTTGGAAAATAATAATGTATACATATATTGATGATAATTACACTTTCATTTTAGTCAACAACACAGTTTACAGATAAAGACAAGATTTTACAGGAATTGGAAAAACATGGTGGCATTTGTGATTGTCAATCGTCAAGGTTGTGTAAAAAAAAAAAATCACATATATCATAATCAGTATAAAATTTGGCATGTTATATGTAGGGATTTTGATGTTTTTCCCCCACCGCAGCAGAGGGGGCACTAAGTGTTACACTTGTCCGTCCGTACGTACGTCCCAAAATTAATTTCCATTCTCTAATTTTAGTTTGCCTCAACCAAATGTTATGACACTTATACACAATGCTTATTACCACAAAACTCAGATCAAGTTTGAATTTGAGTAGCGTCACTTTTATCGTTCTTGCGTTATGTTCCTTTATAACATTATATGCAAGTGGGGGCATCATCTGTGTCCCATGGACACATTCTCCAATTATTTCTTATTGTCAGGGTTTTTTTATTTTATTACAAATAGTTATTTGCACATACACTGGATAATATATGTAATGGAATTTAGATTACAAAGTATACAGAATGAATGCCAGAAACCTGTTTTTAAAAAATCTATTTTTTGTCTAATATTTGAATGCTTGTGATGACACATTTTTATTTGTATTTTTATTATAAAAGTCTTATCAAAAGCAAGCTTATTCTGAACAATATAAAATCTTTCAAGAACTTATAACACATTTATGTACTGACTGCCAAAATGTGAGGAAAGACGAATATTCAAGAAAACATAGTATTGGATGTACATTAGGTATATGTTCCAATGCATCCAGATTCCACAGGGAGAGAATCAAATTGATTTGCTTTTTATTTTTTGGTTAATAAAATGAGCTGTTTTCTGACTTGAATAACACAAGATGATGATTGCTTGAATGAATAAATTTATTAAGTCATTTTAATAGTAGAATATTTACTTTACTTATTATACTTATAAATATGATTATGTGAAATTTCTTATAGCCTTTGGTGTATTTAAAAAAAAGTTGAGATTTATTAATTATCTAATATATTACATGTATTATGTATTATACTGAATTATTTAGTTTTGATATTAGGGTTATATTACTTTTCCTGAACAACACTAAAGATTTGGTTAATGATTGATCATGCAACAAGGACTTTTTTTCTTCAATAGAAAGGAAGTTCATGTTTATATCTTACAAAGAATAGACTTAAACTGTAAATATTTTTCAAATAACAATAAATTTTTTTAAAGATATTTTTTTTTATAATATTTTTTTAAATGATCTTTCAGGGACACATTAATTTATGCCATGTCAGCAGAAACTAGAGGATTGCAAGCAGTAGTTAATATCTTATCAGAAGTTATAAACAGACCCACTATAACAGCTCAAGAGGTTGGTAAAAAAAGTTGAATTTAAAAAAAAAGGCCGGGTTATACTAAGTTGGAGGCAATTTTTTCATTCCTACACATTATTTCACCCAATCAGTAGCTTGACGGTGATGGGTTGTAACATGTGCACACTTTTCTGACCTTTCAAACACCTACTTCCTGTTTGCAAATACTATGAATTTTTTATTATGTTGAATGAAAAAAATTATTTTCGTCACACCTTTCTCAGAAACTACTAAACAAAATAACTTCATATTTGGTCAGCAGTTTGACTGTTGAGTTGTAAAAATCTGTTGGACAATTACTTCTTTTCTGATACTTTGAACTAAGAATCTGGTAATGCCTAGCATGACAAATCATGCATTCTTGTTATCATCCAATTTACAAATGAGTAAAACAGTGGACAGTCCTTATTGAAGCAACTACAAACCTTCCTATTCACTTGAGTGCAGTCTTTGATTTAAGTTGGTTATGTGTTTATCTTTAGTTTTTTGTGAAATATTTTGTTTGGCTTTGTTTTTGTATTACTGTACTCTTTTGAACTTGTGATTTTTTATTTGCCTCTTGATATCTCCTTATTTGACATGAATAAAACATTTTATACAATAAACATATTTATCTCAGATTGAATTTGCTGTGAAATGGATTAAAATGGATTTTGATTTTATTAAACTTTTCAATGTCATCCATATCATGTCAAAATTGTGTTATTATATAAGATAACTGTTCACTATTAAATAGGTTTGATATCTTTGGCACACACCCATAATAAAAATAATATTGTTAGTGTTTCAGTTCCTTTTTTATCCTAAGCCAAAAACATCTTTTAATTATGATACAGTTGTACAAAGAAATTCAATGATCTTGACATATGATTAGGCTTTATAGTTATTGTCAAGAATATTTATATCATGATTGAAATGTATTCTAAAAGTATTACATCATTTAGTAATTATGTATACTGCTATTGTTATTCCTTCATGCAAAAATAATTTTTATCAATTTAAAATATTCTCAAGCATAAATTACACAGGTCAGATCATTAGAAGATAAAAAATATTGTTCATTCGCTATGTACCTTTTGTATTTCAAGATAGTGCTGCCACATGATAATCATCCATTTTATGTTTCTTGGTGTGAAATCCCCAGAGGGAACTTCAAACACCCTACATTGCTTATTTGATTTTATTAATTTTTTAGACCTAACCATTTCATCTTTCTTTTGTAACAAGAATGTGCAATGAGAGCACATGTAAGTGCTTAAAATATTGAGAGGTTTAATTTCTGTATTTAGTTTATTATTTTTGATAATTTGTTAAGTAATCAAAATTGACCAAAAGAAGACAGAACTGATTGCTTAAAATGACAGATCAGAACATCACTGTATAACACTGACTAAACAGCTAACACCAATAGATAACAAGTGGTTAACCGATCAACATAATTAGATAACAACTGTTTAACCATATAACATATCAAGCTAACACTTATGGAACATTAAGAGGTAACTAGCAAACACTATCAGATAACTTAATCTAAGTATTATATGTATTACTAGATAACTACTGGTTATCACTTAGGAGTGTAATATTTTTTGTTGCTCATATGTGCTTCTATTGAGTTTAATTGTTTATTAAGATTTTTGCAATGATGACAGCTAAAAAATGCAAGTCTTTGATTTTTTTTAGTTAGAAGATGCTAAGATGGCAGTAGGGTTCCATATTCAGGGTATGGAGTTAGATCCCAATCCAGAACCCATTCTAATGGAAATGATTCATCAGGTAATATTTACAGGAAATTATTTATCAGGTAATATATTTAGAGAACTCATACTTGTGGTCATTTATACTGTAAACAGGGAAGTTTCCTCGGCAGTTTTATTTTCGCTTTTTTTGGTGGTAAGAGTTGAAACCCGAAAATAAAACAGCGGTGAATATTTCAAGGAAAGCTGATTCATAAGATGAAGACCATACATGAACGTATATGAATAGAATATGTACAGGACTACTGCATAACACCAGTTTTACACACCAAAGATCTATACCGAAAATCATAACTTTAAATGTATTTCTAAATGAAAGGCAATGTATGAAATCACAATTTAACTCATGTTAGCCTAATTAACATGGTAGACATCTCAAGTAAGCGAATATTACGGATATTGTTATAACAATTGTTTCAAATATGTAAACAGCTGTCAATCAGTTTTACAAGGATTACCTCATTATATCTGCTACACAGACTAATCAGATCAAAAGATCGATTAATTAATTAGCAATTATCCTAACAACATTTAATTCATTCTTAATATGAGTCTAATATGTCATTCTTCTTTGTTTATTGTGTATGTGTTTTTAAAAGCAAACATGACTCATAACTTTAAACTACTTTTACATTGATAAACCAACAAAAAGGATTTCTGATTGATTTTATCTCTTGACTTATGACACATGTTAAATTGTTTACTTTCCAAATCATTTATTATAGAATACTTATATAGGACATCGGAATATCGCGAATTCAATACTGCGCAAATATAGATTTGGTTGGAGAATCGTGAAAAAAGACGGCACGAAAATTTCCTGGTTTACAGTAGTAGGAATTGTCAACCCAGAGGTCATTCCAATTGAAAAATTCACCAAGTGGCCAATGAAATGGATAATTTAAATTAAAGAGCATTGAATAGTCCCAAAATTATCTAAAGTAACTTAACTGCTTCAGTTTATTGTGGTAGTGTGCTGGCCTTGAGTGTGATAGTTGTTGGTTGATCCCCAACCTCGTCAGACTAAATACTTGAAAATTGGAATTTGTTGCTTCTCCTCTAAGCATGCAGCATTTAAGAGTAAGAGCAGACTGGTCTGCTCACACTGTTTAGGGTAAGAATACTTACCTTACCTTACTTAACTAGCAGGTTAAAAAATCTGGCTCAGCATGTCGGCTTAGTAAAAAGTAATGGGCTATATTCATATCAAATTATCATGTTCCTTTTCCTGAATATGTATTCAATTTGCCACTGGATGTTAAATAGCCATCCAGCCATCTAAATTCTCTCTACATGTCTGTTAAATCCCAAAAGAATTTCCTAGAACTGCATGCAGAACTATTTATATTGGGGTATTAATCCTTTTAATGCCATTATCCTAGAAATTATTTGACATACATGTATAATTCATTTTACCTTAAACATTACATGTTATATTTATAATTTCAGGCAGCTTTCAGAGGTAATACATTAGGATTACCACACAGATGTCCTCCAGAAAACATTGATAAAATTGAAAAAAATATTTTATACACATACATGAAGAATTTTCATACACCAGAGAGGATGGTATTAGCTGGTGTTGGGATGGATCATGAACAGATGGTGGAATTAGCTAAAGAACATTTTGTGAAAAAATACAAACCAATATGGTTTGAACAAGAGAACTTAATAGATACGAAAATGTCTGTGGATAATTCCTTAGCACAGTACACTGGTGGAAAAGTTTTGGTGAGTAGTCAGGAGAGAATAGGACCAGAATTTAATATATCTTTCATTAACGTGGTGGTCAGTTGTCTCTGTATATTTGTATTTGTATGACATCTGTCTGTACGAAATCTTCAGCCTGTCATCATTACGTAATGGTATGATATTTGTAGCAGTCATTTGCAATAATGGCAAGGTACACTTGATATACATGTCTTTATCTGTGTAGGTCTATGCCGTTGGATATTTCTGAAGCAGAGGAAACATCAAACATTTTCGTCAAAAGTTGGACAATGTTTTGTTATTATTAGTTACTGTTTAAATTACTTGTTTTGTTATAATGAATAATGATGCAGCTAAAGCATTTTATTTTTGACATGACCATGTGTGATTCTTTTTTGCCTGCTGACTGTGTTAATTCCCTTTCATATTACTACACTGAGGAAACAAGGGGAAATAAACTAAAAATGGTATTTTTAAAAACTAAAATAACTGTAATTAATATGATTTGATTTGATTTTTTGTGTTTTAACACCACTTTTGGGCTATTTCGTGGCAGCCAGTTTTTATTGGTGGAGGAAGCCGGGGTGCCCGGAGAAGACCACGACCTTCGATAGGAAAACTGACAATCCTAGTCAATTAAGATTAGAGTTGAGTGCAACCGCACGAGCGGGGTTCGAACTCACAACCTCAGTGTTGACTGGCTAGTGATTACAGTAGTAACTACTTAGACTACTCGGCCACCGAGGCCCCTGTAATTAATATGTGTTTTCCTATCTGTAAAAGCAACAGCATTGCACAAAATAAATTGCAGGATAAAGACAATCAGTGTTTAGTGTCTTTAAATATCAGCTGTATTCCTTTACTCGTCTCGTTGAAGCTTGCATTTCTTCTGTTTTTTAGCCTCGTACAAATACAGCTGATATTTAAAGACACTAAACACTTATTTTCTATGTATCATTATGCCCCACAAGGGTTCAAAATTTGAAATAAAATATGTTTAATATTTATACATTTTGTACTTGGATTTGTGAGAGTTTTCCATTCCTTGTTTAAGGTTGATGGTTTGTTGATGAAATTATTTGAATAGGTAAAATGTGGTTTTAAATCAAACTGTTTACAATTTATAAATGATACTCATTCATGAAAAAGATTTTATACTTCTCTGTATATAGAAAAGACAAGAATGATTTATTGTTATCAGGTTTTCCACATAAATCAAAATTTCCTCTGTGGTAAAACACAAAACCAGCAATAGTTAGTTACATTCCATACAAAGTCAATGTCACATAGTTGAAAATGTACTAGTATACAAATTTCAAATTTCAAATGTGGAAATCTGATTTAATGTCAATCACAGACAAATAGCTCAGTACTGCTGGTTAGGAAAAAGATAACAAAACTAACAGAAATGAAATTAAAATTACAATTGTATTTGTATGACAGCTGTCTGTACGAACTTTTTCAGGCTATCACCATTACATCATGTATGATACTTGCTTCTTTCATTTGCAATAATGGCAAGGTACACTTGTTTTAAGATAAAAAATCAGAAGTTTTGAGGGAAGTACCACTAAATTACAACTACAAAATTGGAAAATATATATACAAACTACCATACTTTAGAAATCATAATTACATTTAAATATATTTCAGATGGAGAAAGATTTGTCAAATGTCAGTTTAGGACCAACACCAATGCCAGAACTAGCACATATTGTAATTGGTCTGGAAAGTTGTTCACACAAAGATGATGACTTCATCAGTTTTTGTGTACTTAATATGATGATGGGTGGTGGTGGATCATTCTCTGCTGGGGGTCCTGGAAAGGGAATGTATACAAGATTATATCTTAATGTATTAAACAGGTGAGTTCCAGATTTCTGGTCAGAACTCATAATATAAATATATCTATAGAAGGTGGAATTTACTCGGTACTTTCCAATACCAGTAAGTAAAAAGGACAGATGCCCATGACTAAAAGATGGCCCATGTTTATAAAGTCCAAATAACCTATGGTGTAATGCTACTGACAGTCTAATGATGATGATGATGATGATGTTGGATGGCTGTTTCACGTCCAGTGGCAAATTAAATGCATATTCAGGACAAGAACATGTTAATGTGATATGAATATGAACCATGACTAACTAAGTAGGACTGGAACACAACTTGTACAGTCATTGTGCATCATACGTGAAGGTGCATTTTTTTAGGGTTGAACAATGAGAAATGAAATAAATTATTGTTAAAAATCACAAACTTTGAGAAAAAAGTAAAATAACAAAAATACCAAACCTGAAGGAAAATTCAAAACGGAAAGTCCATCAACAACACAAACACATCAAACTAATGGAAAACAACTGTCATATTCCTGACTTGGTTCAGTCTTTTCCTTATGTAGAAAATGGTAGATTAAACCTGGTTTTTGTCGAGCCTTCCACTTTTGTGGTTAAAGTTTTTGAAATTTTAATAACTTTCATAACCTTTTCGCTGATGAGTCCCGGTTTACCATGATTCACGCTTCAGACAGTTGATGTTGAGTCCCGTTTTACCGGAACGGAATACCTCTTTTATACTTCCCGGTCAAAACAGTGCAAACACGAGTTATCTTTCTTTGTTGAATACCCGGATGAAAGTGTAAACATGGCGCTTCCGTTTGTTGAAAACCGTGTCAAATTCTGAGGAAATTTACGGAATTTACGAGAATTTGAATGAGGGAACATTTTGTTTGAAAGAATATGGAAGAATTGAAGCCAAACTAGTATACTTTTTTGACATAAAAATGTCGTTTTATGTACAAAACAATTGGAATGGACATCATTCAGTGTAATAAATTTGTACAGCCTCATTAAATTTTTCAAAATTTTGCCGTTTTGGGTTAAAAAATGACGATTTTGGGTCAAAGAGCAGAATTTTGACAATTTCACCTAGATAATGCCGAAAATTTGAAAATTTGAATATTTTATGAAGAAAAAATTATCAAAACATGAACGAAACTAATAACATGGTGTTAATGAATGAAATAAAGACACAAATAACTACAGACAAGTTTTTATTGACATTTATTATGAAGATCTCCCACTTGAGTAATAGTAGCCAGGGAAGCCGTCATCTCAGAGTAGCTTCTGTCTGGGCAGCTATTGGTGAAAGGGTTAAACTATCCTGGATTTCTACCAAACTTGGACAGAAGCTTGTTTATGATCATAAGATAGTATCCAGTAGTAAATTTTGTAAAAAAAAATTCCTGTTTTTCCATATTTTACTTATAAATGGACTTAAGTTTTTCTGCCAGGAAACATTACATTCACTCTGTGGTATAAGTTTTTAAAATTTTAATAACTTTCTCAAACTATCCTGGATTTCTACCAAACTTGGATAGAAGCTTGTTTATGATCATAAGATAGTATCCAGAAGTAAATTTTAAAAAAAATTCCTGTTTTTCAGTATTTTACTTATAAATGGACTTAGTTTTTCTGCCAGGAAACATTACATTCACTCTGTGGTTAAAGTTTTTCAAATTTTAATAACTTTCTTAAACTATCCTGGATTTGTACCAAACATGGACAGAAGTTTGTTTATGATCAAAAGCTAGTATCTAGAAGTAAATTTTTATTAAAATTTTGTACTTGTTTATCCATATTTTACTTATAAATGGACTTAGTTTTTCTTCCAGTTAACATTACATACAGTCTGCAGTTAAATTTTTTAAAACATTTATTAGATTCATAAACTATCCTGGATTTTTACCAAACTTGGACAGAAGCTTCTTAAATAAAAAAATTGTATCGAGAGGAATATTTTTATTAAATTTTTTCCTCATCTCATTTTTGTTGAGCCTGCGATTAACAGCAAAAGTAGGCGAGACACTGGGTTCCGCGGAACCCTTACAAATTTTATAGCTTAGCTAGCTAAACCTCTCACTTGTATGACAGTCACATAGAATTCAATTATATTCACAACAAAGTGTGAGCAAAACAAACAGACATAATACATTGAAATAGGTAAAAAAGTCAAAATTTGGAGAAACAGTTTTGTATTAGGATTTCAGTATCATTTCCTGTTTTATTTTTTTCTATATATTCTATTTATGGCATTATGCATGTGTTATAACTTTGGTTTTATTTTCAGTAATTCCTAAGGTTGAGGGGGCATTAAGGTTTACCCTTGTCCATCCATATCTGTCCGTCCGTCTGTATGTCCCAAAATTGATTTCTGTTCTATAACTTAAGTTTGCCTCAACCAAATGTTATGAAACTTAATCCACAATGCTTATTACCACAAAACACAGATCGAGTTTGAATTTTGGTGGCATCACTTTTACAGTTCGAGAGTTATGCCCCTTTACAAATGGAAAAATTGCTGAATTTTTCGTTTCAGTTCTCTAACTTTAGTTTGCTTCAACCAAATGTTATGAAACTTATCCACAATGTTTATTACCACAAAACACAGATCAAGTTTGAATTTTGGTGGTGTTACTTTCACCGTTCTAAAGTTATGCTCCTTTACAAATGGAAAAATTGCTGAAATATTAGTTTTTGTTCTCTAACTTTAGTTTGCCTCAACCAAATGTATTGAAACTTATGCACAATGCTAATTACCACAATACACAGATCAAGTTTGAATTTTGTTGGCGTCACTTTTACCGTTCTAGAGTTATGCCCCTTTACAAATCTCAAAATTGCTGAAATATTTGTTTCTGTTCTCTAACTTCAAAATGAACTTTAGTTTGCCTCAACCAAATGTTATGAAACTTATGCACAATGCTGATTACCACAAAACACAGGTACAGATTGAATTTTGGTGGCGTCACTTCTACTGTTCTAGAGTTATGCCCTTTAAAAATGGAAAAATTGCTGAATTTTTCGTTTCTGTTCTCTAATTGAAGTTTACATCAACTAAATGTTATGAAACTTATAAACAATGCTTATTACCACAAAACTCAGATCAAGTTCAAATTTGGGTAGTGTCACTTTTACAGTTCTTGAGTTATGACCTTTTATAACGTTATATGCAAATGTGGGCATTATCTGTGTCCCATGGACACATATCCCATTTATTTTCATTGATTCCTTTTGGATTCATAATGACATATTTGACAACTATGGTTTTATTTTCACAGATTCCCTTTGGATTCATAGTGCCATATTTTACAACTATGGTTTTATTTTCACAGATTCCATTGGATACATAATGCCACATGCTATAACCATGCCTATGATGACAGTGGATTATTTTGTATACATGCAAGTTCACATCCTGATCAGGTGAGAATGATTCAGAGACTAGTATGTCAATTCAATTATTAAGTTTGATTAAGTCTGGAAGTTAAATGGGAACAAAAAAGACTGTCTAGGATGATGAACAATATGAGGGCCACTTAGTGACTTGATCCTATTGTTGCAAAAACAACAGCTGTCTGAATTTTTATGCCCCACCGAGGGGCATTATGTTTTTCGGTCTGTGCATCAGTTTGTTTGTTCGTTCGTCTGTCTGTCCATCTGTCCGTCTGTCCTGCTTCAGGTTAAAGTTTTTGGTCAAGGTAGTCTTTGATGAAGTTGAAGTCAAATCAACTTGAAACATAGTACACATGTTCCCTATGATATGATCTTTCTAGTTTTAATGCCAAATTAGAGTTTTGACCCCAATTTCACGGTCCACTGAACATAAAAAATGATAGTTCGAGTGGGGCATCCATGTACTATGGACACATTCTTGTTTTGTCATGCATTCTGATATTGACTAGAATTTTGGTATATTCATACTATGTATAATGGAAGTTTTTTTATATTGTTCAAGCTGATAAATTCACTCAAATAATAAGATTTCCACACTTTTTATACGACCGCAAAAATTGAAAATTTTTTGGTCGTATATTGGTATGACGTTGGCGTCGTCGTCGTCGTCGTCGTCGTCGTTGTCGTCGTCGTCGTCGTCGTCGTCTGGCGTCGTCCGGCGTCGTCCGAAGACACATTGGTTTTCGCACTCTAACTTTAGTTTAAGTGAATGGATCTCCATGAAATTTTACCATAAGGTTCAATACCACGAAAGGAAGGTGGGGATTGATTTTGGGGGTTATGGTACCAACAGTTAAGGAATTAGGGGCCAAAAAGGGGCCAAAAATAAGCATTTTTGTAACTTCCAGACAATAACTTGTGTGTAAGTGTATGGATCTCTCTGACATTGTACCACAAGGTTCCATATCACAAAGGGAAGGCTGTAATTGATTTTGGGGGTAATTGCCTCAAAATTTTAGGAATTAGGGGCCAAAAAAGGGGCAAAAAACAAGCATTTTTCTAGTTTCATGACAATAACTTGTGTGTAAGTGTTTGGATATTTCTGAAATTGTACTACAAGGTTCCATATCACAAAGGGAAAGCTGGAATTGAGTTTGGGGGTAATTGCCCGAAACGTTAAGGAATTGGGGGCCAAAAAGGGGCCAAAAATAAGCATTTTTCTAGTTTCCAGACAATAACTTGTGTTCAAGTGTATGGATCTCTCTGAAATTGTACTGCAAGGTACCATACCACAAAGGGAAGGCTGGGATTGAGTTTGGGGGTGATGAATCATAAGGGGGTTCAAAAAATTTGGGGGGGGGGGATTTTTTTTTTTCTTTTTTTTTTCTTTTTTTCCTTTTTTTTTTCTTTTAAAATTTTCCATTTTAAGTTGGTTATTTCTGATTAATATTTAAAAGCAAATAATAATGATATGGTAGGAGATACACACCAAACAGGATGTGTAAATTATTATATAATAAGTATTGTGCAATAGCAAGAAATTTTCAATTGCACAGTATTGCACAATTGCAAGAAATCTTCAATTGCACAGTATTGCGCAATAGCAAGAAATCTTCAATTGCACAGTATTGCGCAATAGCAAGAAATATCCAATAGCACAATATTGCGCAATAGCAAGAAATTGTCAATTGTACAGTATTGCACAATAGCAAGAAATATTCAATTGCACAGTATTGTGCAAAAGAAGATACTTCGTATAAATTGCTTATTTCTTGATCAATTTCAATGGGGTTTTATTCTTGAATTCTTGGGGTTCTTTAATATGCTGAATCTAACCGTGTATTAAGTTTTTGGATTTTGGGCCCTGTTTTTAAATTGGTCCACATTGAGGTCCAAAGGGTCCAAAATTTAACTTTGTTTGATTTCATCAAAAATTGAATTATTGGGGTTCTTTGATATGCCGAATCTAACCGTGTATTTAGATTCTTAATTTTTGGTTCCGTTTTCAAATTGGTCTACATTAAGGTCAAAAGGGTCCAAAATTAAACTTAGTTTGATTTTAACAAAAATTGAATTTTTAGGGTACTTTGATATGCTGAATCTAAACATGTATTTAGATTTTTGATTATGGGCCCAGTTTTCAAGTTGGTCCAAATCGGGGTCCAAAATTAAACTTTGTTTGATTTCAACAAAAATTGAATATATGGGGTTCTTTGATATGCTGAATCTAACCATGTATTTAGATTTTTGATTTTTGGGCCCCGTTATCAACTTTGTCCACATTGAGGTCAAAAGGGTCCAAAATTAAACTTTGTTTGATTTCATCAAAAATTGAATTCTTGGGGTTCTTTGATATACTGAATCTAACCATGTATTTAGATTTTTTATTTGTGGACCCGCTATCAAATTGGTTCATATTGAGGTCAAAAGGGTCTAAAATTAAACTTTGTTTGATTTCATCTAAAATTGAATTATTGGGGTTCTTTGATATGCCAAATCTAACCGTGTATTTAGATTTTTAATTTTGGGTCCCGTTTTTAAATTGGTCTACATTAAGGTCCAAAGGGTCCAAATTAAACTTAGTTTGATTTTAACAAAAATTGAATTTTTGGGGTTCTTTGATATGCTGAATCTAAACATGTGTTTAGATTTTTGATTATGGGACCAGTTTTCAAGTTGGTCCAAGTTGGGGTCCAAAATTAAACTTTGTTTGATTTCAACAAAAATTGAATATATGGGGTTCTTTGATATGCTGAATCTAAACATGTATTTAGATTTTAGATGTTTGGCCCAGTTTTCAAGTTGGTCCAAATTGGGGTCCAAAATTAAACTTTGTTTGATTTCAACAAAAATTGAATATATGGGGTTCTTTGATATGCTGAATCTTACCATGTATTTAGATTTTTTATTTTGTGGGCCTGCTATCAAATTGGTTCATATTGAGGTCAAAAGGGTCCAAAATTAAACTTTGTTTGATTTCATCAAAAATTGAATTATTGGGGTTCTTTGATATGCCAAATCTAACCGTGTTTTTAGATTTTTAATTTTGGGTCCCGTTTTTTAAATTGGTCTACATTAAGGTCCAAAGGGTCCAAAATTAAACTTAGTTTGATTTTAACAAAAATTGAATTCTTGGGGTACTTTGATATGCTGAATCTAAACATGTGTTTAGATTTTTGATTATGGGACCAGTTTTCAAGTTTGTCCAAGTTGGGGTCCAAAATTAAACTTTGATTGATTTCAACAAAAATTGAATATATGGGGTTCTTTGATATGCTGAATCTAACCATGTATTTTGATTTTGGACATTGGACCATAATAGGTAAATTAAAAAAATTGAAGTTCTTAGACAACATTCTTTCTGTGTCAGAAACCTATGCTGTGTCAAATATTTAATCACAATCCAAATTCAGAGCTGTATCAAGCTTGAGTGTTGTGTCCATACTTGCCCCAACTGTTCAGGGTTCGACCTCTGCGGTCGTATCAAGCTGCGCCCAGCGAAGCATTTTATTTTAGTCATGCTTGAAGATATTGATTTGAAAATTGGTATATAGTTTTATCATGACAAGTTACAGATCAAGTTCGAATTTTGTTCCAGTCTGATGATTTTGTGCAGAGTTATTGTCCTTGGACTTAAAAAATTCACTTAAATAATCAGTTTTCAACACTTTTTTTCGTCATGCTTGAAGATATTGACTTGATATTTGTTATATAGTTTACACCATGACAAGTTATAGATCAAGTTAGAATTTTGTTCCAATGCAATGAATTTTTAACCGATAGGGGACTATGTATTGCCATGCAATACTCACAGAATACTTGTTGTCTTAACTTTCTTATATAAGCATTTTTAGAATAATCATTAAGGGATTGCATGTAAATCTTCATCTTATAATAAAAGTACAAGATATAATAATATGATTTTGAACTTTTGAAATGAAGAATTAAATTTTAATGAGAAAATGAACTTTTTAAGTATTGCTATGATAATCTTATTGATGAACTTTGCAGTTATCAGATCTGGTTGAAGTTATTGTCAGAGAATTACTAAATACCACATCATTCGTAGATAAGGTAAGTGCTAGCAATGCATTCAGCATAATCATACAGATATAAAACACCTTAAAAAACACTCAACAATAAGACAATAGAGGACACTGAATAAACTGGAAGCACAGAAATGTAAGGTCTGCTGTCATGATCTGTGTCAAGTATATGTATATTGGTTTTATAACACCCATTGTGATTTGTCATGTACCCCTAACTCTGGCCCATGACTATGAATACTTTTCCACCATTTATAATATATACATTATGCAAAATTTTGATTTTAACATGTGGGGGTTTGGCAGAGTAATAGAATTTCCATGGAAATGAGATGAATCAACACAGGTGCAGCTGCAAATAAATCATTTAAAAAAAAAGTTGCTGGCCCTTATTTTAAATCCTTATTAAGCCTCAAATCTTGTTTGAACTAAATGTTCATCTGACTAATACTTTGAGCTTTTGTGATTGCTTTACATCTAGAAATATTTACCATTTTTATCTCCTGTGAAATCACTTTGCCAATATTACTGTTAACTAAACCAGGCAGGACTATTTTATGGAGGGCCTTTATGAAACTTCATTTGATCTTATTGGACATCATAGCCACCATTGGAAATTCTTGATACTGATTTCATCTCTTCTAATTCTATATGATGACAATAACTATACAAGCTTCTGTCCAAATTTTCTAAAATTCCCTGAAGTTATTGATGTCTGAAAAAACTTTAACCACAGACTGAACTTAAATGTTGACGCCGCCAACGAAATCTAGGATCACTATGTCTTGCTTTCATGACATAAATGTGGCAGGCTCAAAAACATTATACTTACAATCCTATCACATTTTAATTCCACATATCTCATTAAAATTATATAGTTATATTTTTAAACATATATCATTTTTTAAAGTCATATGAAGGTAAATTTTAGAATTGCTTTAAAATTGTCAAGTCTCTACACCTATTGCAGTTCATTCAAAATTCTGACCCAATTGCTATTTATTTTATTAAATCAAACTGTTCAACTGGTCAGAAATTTTAACAAACTGCTGAAAAGAAACCTAGTCAAGATATCAAAGTGCAAAATGATAAAATAAAGCAAACGTACAAGTCATTAAGGCATGGCTGTTTTGAATTTGTTGTGCTCAAAGTTTCTATATATATTGTTATTGTAAAGAATCATTTGAAAGGTGAGAAGTAATAAGTTTTTAATTGCTATAAAATTGTCTAAACTAATTTTTCATACTGTTTTTCTTTTAAAAAATCTTCTATATTTCTAGGAATTAGATATCAGTTTGAATTCAAATCTGTTATATTCAGTAAAAATTATGTGAAGTTACGATAAGTTTCCAGGGGCAGATAATTTAATACCTATTCCTCATTGATTAGACTCTGTTATACATCTCTTTAAACTTCATGAAAACATAATTTAGCTAAAAGTATATTTCACAGAGATTTTTAGATTGTAATTTAATTACAGCTTTGAAGCATGTATAGAAAAACAACATTTAGAAGAGATAATTCAAAAACTTAAATTAGACATTTTCTTTTAGCAATTCAAAATTTACAACCTGACCTTGTAAATGACCCATTACAATAAATATATTTTTCAAAAGTTTCAGCCACTCTTTCATTGTAGCCATGAAGTGGAATTTTTAAAATTTCAAAGGATTTTAAGTATGGTATATTTTATCACTTTGATGACTTGACTGTGTTTCCTGCAGCAGTTGGTTTTAAATTTCTGACCAGATGAACAGTTTGATTTGATAAAACAAATTGCAATTGGGTCAGAATTTTTAATGCGATGGGTGGAGAGCAACACTTAGTCAAGTCACAGTAATTTTCTAGAGAAAAAACATATTTCTCTGAGTGTTTAAAATATTGATTTAAATACATCTGTAAATCTGTATACAATTTCAATGACAGATGTGGAATTCAAATCTCAGATGATTGTAAAGTATTGTTTTTTATACATGTAGTATAATTTTTTATTACACTCCATTTGCTTTATACTTACAATCTTTCACTAGCTATGAGCTAAACTGTTTTACCATTTGATTAGTTTGTAAAGATGAATTCAAATTGCAATTTTGGTAAAACATTTTAGCAATTGGCATTGTGAAAGGGCAAAGCCTTTAGGATAAGTACAGTAAAGGTTAAAAATATTTGGAATATTCTGAGTACATGACATGATGAAAGCTTATTCATGTTCATAATATAATTTCCTCACACTTGATTAAGTCTATATTTTTTTCTATGAGCAGACAGAACTACAGAGAGCCAAGACACAACTACAGTCTATGTTATTAATGAATTTGGAATCTCGACCTGTTATATTTGAAGATGTTGGAAGACAAGTATTAACTAGTGGACACAGAAAGCAGCCAGAATATTTCTATGATTTAATAGGTAATATTATTGCTGTTTTAAATTATATATACTGTGTATTATATTGTATTATCTAAAAATACACTACATTTTTCTTGAGCGAGTATTCATGACAAATTTGTAAACAACTGTCATTTTTTTTCACCTGCCTTTAATGTCACTGTGAATAAAACATAGCGTATATCAGTTAGTTAATCTGCAACTCCTTGGCAGATTTCATCCAAAGTTGTACAAATTATTCTTCATGACATAAAATTGTGCATTTGCAATTCAAATTTTTGGGGTTTCCATTACCATACCTGCCAATGTTTCAAAATTTCCATGGGGGATTTTAAGCGCAAGAGGACCTAATACTCCTCTTATATTGTCATAAGTGTTTGTAATCTACTACTTTATTGTTTGAATTAGTATATATGGGCTTAAATACCATTTTACCTCATTTCAATGTCTGTTTTAAGGTGTTAAATCAATACACAAAAGAATTTAAAAGTTCAGGTCAACACCTCTCATGGGGGATATCCCCCATAAATCGGGATAGTTGGCAGGTCTACATTACCAGACCATGTACTTATCAATTTCTGTTTATATCAATCAGTCATTATGCTACTCTATGAAAACAGTTTAACATAATTAAATAAAAGTTACAGAGATTCTTCTGCTGGAAATTAAAGTGTGACTTTGTTTTTTAAATTATGACCTTTTTTGACCTCAGTGTTTTTTTGTTTTTTTTTTCATCCCTTAACATGGACATAATCATTTCTGTTAATATTAAATCTTAGACAGCAGGCTAAACATATCTTCTATGGATGACCCACACATTATACAAAGAGTAGACTATGAGAAATATATAAAATACTAAGGAAGAAGGAAGAATAAGGTTTAAACTAATAACACAACACTGCTGCTCAACATCACAAAGGTCACATCACAAAGGTCATATCACAAGGTCTTCACCAGTTAAATAAGTAGAACTGTTCACACAAGTTCAATATGGCTCTGTTAAAAAAATTATGCTCCCTAAAAAAGGAGGGAACCTGTTATTGTTTCAGTTCTTTAATGATATATAACCTATCAACATATGTGTTACTAGAAGAGGGGAACAGCAATCAATCAATTAATATTTATCCTGTAAACACTGGAAACATTATTCTCATATTTATTTTTTTAGGTAAAGTTACACCACAAGATATACAGAGAGTAGCTGAAAGGATGTTAACAAGTAAACTGTCATTGTCTGCTCTTGGAACATTAGCTAATTTACCAGACTATGAAAACATTCAAAATACTTTGCTGGGCAAGAATGGAAAACGTTCTAGATTTTCATTTCTAGGACTGTAATTTTTATGTGTGAATTAAAATAAATTCAGAATTGTTTTATTTTTTGTGAATGCTATTACTCTTTTGCTAGTTGAACTAAATCTTTGTGCCATGGTTATTCAGTCAAGAATTTCATTATCTTCTCAAGAAACTATTCACTGTTTTTGAACAGACAATATTGATATATGGTCATCTATTACAATTTCTAGAACACTCCTGCCAAAACTTTCTGTATGATTGAGTACATCTATTATAAAAATTTTATAAAATATACTATCAAATAGGCTTTTTAAGAATATTTTACAGCATAATTCCATTCTGTTCAATGTACTTACACTAAATGGCTAAACATTCCCTTGCAATTTTAATTTGCTTTGACCTAAAAAATGACTGCATCTATTTTATTATAATATAAATATTTTTTTTCATCTCATGCCCTAATATTTTTTTAAAATGGTTGGCATTATCTTTGACAAAAAAAACTATAAATATGCTTTTATAGAATGGTTTCAATCCCTAACCGGGTCAAGTCAAAGACTTGAAAAAAATGGTATTTTCTGCTTCTTCATTAAGCAAGCAAGAGTAAAGTCTAGTCGACTTGGTAGTCCAGGCACCAGGCAGGATGACATGTCACCCTGCAGATTTTATAACTTGTGAACTAGCATGTGATAACTCGACTCAGCATGTTGATCTTGTACAAAGCAATGTTCATATTCAGCACACCTTAACATGCTCTTGTCCTGAATATGCTTTTAATATTTACCTATGGATGTTTAACAGCTATCTATCCTTTTACTATGCTTTGTTGACCTTAAAAAAAATGTCATGCAGCACATTAGACTTGATCAAAAATGCATTCCACTGTCTTTTTTATACAAGCCTTTTCTCATAATTTAATCAGTAAATTCAACAAGAGTGCACACGCTGAAATGTCTCGCCTTCTTTACTAATCATTGATATTATGTTGATAGTCCTAAATATAAAGCTTTATTACAACTGTCACATAAACTTAACATTAACCAAGTAAACTAAACATTGACCAATGAACCATGAAAATGAGGTCAAGGTCAGATGAACCATGCTAGGCAGGCATGTACAGCTAACAATTCTTCCATACAACAAATATGGTTGACCTTTTGCTTATAGTTTAAGAAAAACAGACCAAAACACAAAAACTTAACACTGAGCAATGAACCTTGAAAATGAGTTCAAGGTAAAAAAAAACCTGCGTGACTGACATATAGATCATAAAATATTTCCATACACCAAATGTAGTTGAACTATTGCATATAGTATTAGAAAAAAAGATCAAATCTCAAAAACTTAACTTTGACCACTGAACCATGAAAATGAGGTCAAGGTCAGATGACACCTGCCAGCTATACATGTACACCTTACAATCCTTCCATACACCAAATATAGTAGACCTATTGCATACAGTATAAGAAAAACAGACCAAAACACAAAAACTTAACTATAACCACTGAACCATGAAAATGAGGTCAAGGTCAGATGACACCTGCCAGTTGGACATGTACACCTTACAGTCCTTCCATACACCGAATATACTAGACCTATTGCTTATAGTATCTGAGATATGGACTTGACCACCAAAACTTAACCTTGTTCACTGATCCATGAAATGAGGTCGAGGTCAAGTGAAAACTGTCTGACGGGCATGAGGACCTTGCAAGGTACGCACATACCAAATATAGTTATCCTATTACTTATAATAAGAGAGAATTTAACATTACAAAAAATCTTAACTTTTTTTTCAAGTAGTCACTGAACCATGAAAATGAGGTCAAGGACATTAGACATGTGACTGACGGAAACTTCGTAACATGAGGCATCCATATACAAAGTATGAAGCATCCAGGTCTTCCACCCTCTAAAATATAAAGCTTTTAAGAAGTTAGCTAACGCCACCGCCGCCGTAGCCGCCGCCGCCGGATCACTATCCCTATGTCGAGCTTTCTGCGACAAAAGTCGCAGGCTCGACAATAAAACTATGAAATCAGAAACTGCAAGTGACAGTTGACCAAAGACAGGATGTCCCTGCATTTTTCATGAAGTTTAACAAAAGTAAATTTTGGTCAGGTATCGGTCAGAAACTATTTAAACAAAATCAACCTGACAATAATATGCACACATAGTATGCATACACAAACATTCTTTAAATTAAAATATGCTAACTTGGAGACTAGGATATTCACATTTTAAAAATCTGAAGGCTGAAATTTCATTGGCTGATGTAATAATTACAAGAACAGAAAGTAAAATGGAGTGTTGTAAGATCCTTGTAAGCAAAGTGTTGACACAGGATCTGCATCTTAATCAGCTCAAAACTTTCTGGTTTGAAAACTAGGATTTAAGCAGACAAAGAGTATTGGTTTTATTATTATAAGCCCAATGAAGACTACCTTTTATGGTATACTAATGTCCATCTATTCGTCAACACTAAATACAATAAAATGCTTCGCCGAGCACAGCCTGATACGACTGCAGAGGTTGAACCCTGAACAGTTGGGGCAAGTTTGGACACAATATTCAAGCTTGATACTGTCTGAATTTGGATTGTGATCAAATTTTTGACATAATATAGGTTTCTGACAGAAAATAAATGTCAAGGATCTTAAAAATTTGAAATGGGACATTTAATTTACCTAGTATGGTCTGATATCCAAAATCTAACATGGTTAGATTCAGCATATAAAAAAACACAAAAAATTTAATTTTAGTAGAAATCAAACAATGTTTAATTTTGGGCCCTTCAAACCTTAATATGGACAAATTTGAAAACAGGGCCCAGAATAAAAAATCTAAATGCACAATGAGATTCAGCATATCATAGAACCGCAATAATTAAGTTTTTGATGAAATCAAACAAAGTTTAATTTTAGACACTTTGGACCTCAATGTAGACCAATTTAAAAATGGGGCCCAATATCCAAAATAGTAATACACAAGGTTAGAACCCCCAAAAATTAAAGACTTTAAATTAATCCCATTGAAATTGGTTAAAAGATATGTATTTATTTTTAATTGAAGATTTCTTGCTATTGCGCAATACTGTGCTGTATTTAAAATTAGTTAATCTGTTATATATAATAATTTACACACCCTGTTTGGTGTGTATCTCCTGCCATATCAGTATTTGTTCTTTTATATATAAATCAGAAATAATCAATGTAAATATGGAAAATATTTTGGAAAAAAAACTAAAAAATTATGAAAAAAAAAGCCCACCGCCCCCCAAAAAAATAATGGTTTCAGAAAATTTGAAATTTGAAAAATCTTGGAAGAAAAAAGTATGAACCCCCCCCCCCAAATTTTTTTTTCAAAAAATTGGGGGGGGGGGGGGGGGTCATATTTTTTTCTTCCAAGATTTTTCAAAATTTCAAATTTTCTGAAACAATTTTGGAATTTCAAAAATTTTGAAGAAAAAAAATATGAACCCCCCAAAAAAAATTTGTAACCCCACCCCAACTTTTTTTGAAATTTTGAAGATTATTTTCTTTTCAGGAAAAATGTACAATTTCAGAGAGTTCCATAAACTTTAACACAAGTTATTGTCTGGAAACTAGAAAAATGCTTGTTTTGGCCCCTTTTTTGCCCCTAATTTCTAAATGTTTGGGGTAATTACCCCCAAACTCAATCCCAGCCTTCCCTTCGTGGTATGGAACATTGTAGTACAATTTCAGAGAGATCCATACACTTCAACACAAGTTATTGTCTGGAAACTAGAAAAATGATTGTTTTTATCCCCTTTCTTGCCCCTAATTCCTGAACGTTTGGGGCAATTACCCCCAAACTCAATCCCAGCTTTCCCTTTGTGATATGGAACCTTGTGGTACAATTTCAGAGAGATCCGTACACTAACACACAAGTTATTGTCAGGAAACTACAAAAATGCTTGTGTTCGGCCCCTTTTTGGCCCCTAATTCCTAAACTGTACCATAACCCCCAAAATCAATCCCAACCTTCCTTTAGTGGTATTGAACCTTCTGGTAAAATTTCATAGAGATCCATTCACTTAAACTAAACTTATTTCCGGAAACCAAATGTGTCTTTGGACGACAACGACGCCGACAACAACACGATAGCATTATATGAACGCAAATTTTTTGCGGTCGTATAAAAAATTCAAATTTGCTTTAACAAATAATCATGTAATTTTAACACAACATTAGGATTGACACAAGAAAGCTCCCTTTTAATTTTGAATTTTTATTTGCTTTGTTGTTCCAGTTACAGGATTTAAACTGATTTAGACATAAGGCAATGTTTTTTTTACATATCCCGCACCAACACTAGTATGCCTAGATCGATTTTGTCAAAACTTTACTTATTTTTGGAATTTGTATAAGGAAGCTCCCTTTTTAGCTCACCTGGCCCGAAGTGCCAAGTGAGCTTTTCTCATCACTTGGCGTCTGTCGTCCGGCGTTGTCGTCGTTAACTTTTTACATTTTGAACTTCTTCTAGAGAACCACTGAATGGAATGAAACCAAACATGGCATGAATGTTCCTTATGAGGTGCTGACCAAGTGTTGTTACTTTGTAGCTGATCCATCATCCAAGATGGCCGCCAGCGGGGGACTTAGTTTAACATAGGACCCTATGGGAAATACATACAAATGTCTTCTTTTAGAGAACCACTGAATGGAATGAAACCAAACATGGCATGAATGTTTCTTATGAGGTGCTGACCGAGTGTTGTTACTTTGAAGCCGATCCATAATCCAAGATGGCCACCAGCGGGGGACTTAGTTTAACATAGGACCCTATGGGAAATACATACAAATGTCTTCTTTTAGAGAACCACTGAATGGAATGAAACCAAACATGGTATAAATGTTTCTTATGAGGTGCTGACCGAGTGTTGTTACTTTGAAGCCGATCCATAATCCAAGATGGCAGCCAGCGGGGGACTTAGTTTAACATAGGACCCTATGGGAAATACATACAAATGTCTTCTTTTAGAGAACCACTGAATGGAAGAAACCAAACATGGTATAAATGTTCCTTATGAGGTGCTGACCAAGTGTTGTTACTTTGAAGCCGATCCATAATCCAAGATGGCCGCCAGCGGGGGACTTAGTTTAACATAGGACCCTATGGGAAATACATACAAATGTCTTCTTTTAGAGAACCACTGAATGGAATGAAACCAAACATGGCATGAATGTTCCTTATGAGGTGCTGACCAAGTGTTGTTACTATGAAGCTGATCCATAATCCAAGATGGCCACCAGCAGAGGACTTAGTTTAACGTAGGACCCTATGAGAAATACGTACAAATGTTTTCTTTTAGAGAACCACTGAATGGAATGATACCAAACATGGCATGAATGTTTCTTATGAGGTGCTGACCAAGTGTTGTTACTTTGAAGCTGATCCATCATCCAAGATGGCTGCCAGTGGGGGACTTAGTTTAACATAGGAGCCTAAGGGAAATACATACAAATGTCTTCTTTTAGAGAACCACTGAATGCAATAAAACCAAACTTGGCATGAATGTTCCTTATGAGGTGCTGACCAAGTGTTGTTACTATGAAGCTGATCCATAATCTAAGATGGCTGCCAGCGGAGGACTTAGTTTAACATAGGACCCTATGAGAAATACGTACAAATGTTTACTTTTAGAGAACCATTGAATGGAATGAAACCAAACATGGCATGCATGTTCCTTTTGAGGTGCTGACCAAGTGTTGTTACTTTGAAGCTGATCCTTCATCCATGATGGCTGCCAGATGGGGACAATGTTTAACAAAGGACCCTATGGACAATACATACAAATGTCTTCTTTTAGAGAACCACATACTGAATGGATTGAAACCAAACATGGCATGAATGTTCCTTATGAGGTGCTGACTAAGTTTTGTTACTTTGAAGCTGATCCTTCATCCATGATGGCCGCCAATGGGGGGACTTCCTTTAACATAAGACCCTATGGGAAATACATACAAATGCTTCTTCTAGAGGTGCACTGAATGGAATGAAACCAAAACATGGCATAAATGTTTCTTATGAGGTGCTGATTAAGTGTTGCTACTTTGTTGCCGATTTACTGTTCAAGATGGCCACCAGGATTTTTTATTAAATTACAGGACCAATATTAAACCAAATTTTGCCTCACTCATTATTAGGGTATCTGTTTTGATTTTTATCTATTTTTACATGATTTCCTAAACCAAAGTAGAATCAGGTAAGCGACACAGGCTCTTGAGAGCCTCTAGTTATTTTTTTTATTTTCTGCGATGTCATTTCAGAGTTACAGGATTTTAAATGTCAGATTTAAATAAAATTTTCACATATTGTTCCATAACTTTTTGAGTTTTCTTGGATTGATTTACTACAACTTTACATTATTGTTTTGAATCGGTGAACTTAACACACAGTTTAATTAAAAAAAAAATGCCTGATATGTCATTCCAGAGTTATGCGACTTCGACTGTCATATAAATATAAGTCATTTTTTAAATGTCATAAATTTGCATTAGTATGCTTGGATCAAATTACTACAAACTAACACTGTTGTTTGGATTGGTGAATAAAGACTCACTTTTGATTTTGAAATTTTCTGGTTTGTCATTTCAGAGTTTTGGGACTTACAACATTACAATACTTATATGCCCAAGGGTATCCTCATGTTTTTCTACGTAGGCATTTTATTTGCTGCTGATTAAATGCCTTCTAAATATTGCATTAATTTTTCCAAAATTTTCATATGCACAATAAGGAGTATTGTGATTTCTTGGCTCAGCTGCTTACAGTACTTTGTTTTGTTACTGTGCTTATTGGAAAGGCTTACTCACAATACCATAATTTTCCAAGTTGAAATTTACCGGTAAATACATATCAGTTAGAAGATCTGCATATGAAACCTGCCAGTCTGACATGTACACCTTACAATCATTCCACACACCAAATGCAGTTGACCTATTGCTTATAGTATCCAAGATTCGGAATTGACCACGAAAACTTAACCCTGATCACTGATCCATGAAATGCAATCAAGGTCAGGTGAAACCTGTCTGTCCAATATGTAGACCTTGCAAGGATCCCATATACATGTACCAAATATAGTTATTCTTTTACTCATAAGTGTTACTCATGATAAGTGAGTATGTCACATGACAAAAAACTTAAAAAAATGAATCATCCAGATCTTTTACCCTGTGAAATATTAAACTTTATACAAATAGTGTACACTATTGCCAGATTTTAATCCCTATGTCTCGTATTCTGTGACTTGTATTGCAGGCGAGACAATAAACCTTCAACATTTGTTCTATCTCATAAACTAACAATGAATCATCATGATATAAATTGTAAGTATTTATTAAGTCTTTGTCTTCTTCTGTTTCTTTTGTTTGTACTACAACAGAAAAAAAAGAACTTTTGGGAACAGATTGTATTAATTCATGCAATGGGACTGGCTTGATAGCTATATCATCACTACTTTTGAGAACATAAAAACAGTCATTGAGGTGAACATTCTTTACATCCTATTCATATATATGTAGAGCAATTTATCAATGAAATATATACATGTATCAACATATTTAAGTAACAAAATGATGTGCATGTGTATAATCATAATTGTAAAAAAAAAAAACAATTTTGATAATTACATAAAATGTGTATGACAGATGAAAACTAACACTGAGGGACAATACTGTAAATTCAAAAATTATTGCGATTTTTGAAGAATGAACAAAAATGTGAGTTTAATTATTGTGATTTTAGGAAAAGCTACATACAGAAATATGTCCCAAATATCAGAATGAGAGTTATTATTGCTATAATCAAGGAGTCACATTATTTGCATTAATAAAAACCTAACAATAATTTCTGAATATACATCATATAGATTTGGGAGTTATTTTCCTTTGACCATAATTGTAGTTGAACCAACAACAAATATGGACTAAGGATATTTCCAGTTCAAAATATTGCCTTTCATTGATTAATACATTGCAATGTTTAATCTTGAGTTTCCACTGCAAAATGAATGCAATCTTTACCCTTCAGTGCTCACAACCATTTTGATTATAATAGAAACAAAAGAAACAGTTCTGCTTTGTACATCTCTATTACTAGTAATTATTGAATCGCTTATCTTGAGAAAAAAAAAAACTCGCATAAAATACTAACTTTTATTTTTCTTTTCTTTGTCTGTAGTTTTATTGAGACATCTTTGACTATTTTTTTTTCATCTTCCAAGTCATCAAATTCATAATCTGAGTCCGACTTATTTTCTTGTGATGCTGAGGCATTTAATGTTTGACCTTCATCATTATCAAGGCTACTGTCAATGTCTGATTGGTCATCACTTTCATTTTCTTCAAAATCCTCAGCTACAAGAGAAAATAATAACTCATGTATTTTCTTGGTTAAACATTTAATAATTTTTCAATGAGAACATATTATTTTTTAATAAAATAGTGGTCTATGGAAATTCATTTTATTTGCCTCTTTTTTCTTTAAATAAAAATTTTGCTCATAAGTTAATAACTAGACAAAGTGATGCCCCCACCCTCCACTCTGAAGTAATTGTATTATAACAAAGTCAATGTAGGACTTTCTTTGAGATATTATTGTGTCTGGGAGACACAAATGATACCCCACAGATGCAAAGTGTTATTTTAAAATACACAAAGTTGAGCATGGGAGCACATCTAGGTCTATGGTTCATTGTAGGAGGAGTTATCTGGAAACACTATGTACCTCTTATGCAAGTATATACTCCAAAAATGACAAAGTTCAACTATCTCCCAAAAGTGCAAATATTGATAAAAATTCGTAAGGGTTCCGCGGAACCCAGTGTCTCGCCTACTTTTGCTGTTTATCTCAGGCTCAACAAAAATGAGGAAAAAAATTAATAAAAATATTCCTCTCTATACTATCTTTTGATTGTAAGTAGCTTCTGTTCAAGTTTGATAAAAATCCAGGATAGTTTATGAATCTAATAAATGTTTTAAAAACTTAAACTGTAGACTGTATGTAATATTAACTGGAAGAAAAACTAAGTCCATTTATAAGTAAAATACGGAAAAAATTTCCTTCTAGATACTAGCTTTTAATCATAAACAAGCTTCTGTCCAAGTTTGCTACAAATCCAGGATAGTTTAAGAAAGTGATTAAAATTTCAAAAACTTGAACCACAGAGTGAATGTAATGTTTCATGGCAGAAAAACTAAGTCCATGTATAAGTAAAATACAGAAAAAATGGAATTTTTTTTTTACAAAATTTACTTTTGAATATTATCTTATGATCATAAACAAGCTTCTGTCCAAGTTTGGTAGAAATCCAGGATAGTTTAAGAAAGTTATTAAAATTTCAAAAACTTTAACCACAGAGTGAATATTTGTGGACGCCGCCGCCGATGACAACAACGACGAAGCCGACGACAGAATGTAGGATCGCTATGTCTCCCTTTTTTGACAAAAGTCGAAGGCTCGACAAAAATCAAAACCCTGACCACATGCACACCTTCAATATATGTACAAACAGCCAGCAAAGTGAAAACTTCCTAGCATTCAAATTGTTGGAGGAGTTATCTGGAAACGCTATGCACCTCTTATGCAAGTAAATACTCCAACAATTCGTAAGGGTTCTGCGGAACCCAGTGTCTCGCCTACTTTTGCTGTTAATCACAGGCTCAACAAAAATGAGATGAGGTAAAAATTTAATAAAAATATTCCTCTCGATACAATTTTTTTATTGTAAGAAGCTTCTGTCCAAGTTTGGTAAAAATCCAGAATAGTTTATGAATCTAATAAATGTTTTAAAAAATTTAACTGCAGACTGTATGTAATGTTAACTGGAAGAAAAACTAAGTCCAATTATAAGTAAAATATGGATAAACAAGTACAAAATTTTAATAAAAATTTCCTTCTAGATACTAGCTTTTGATCATAAACAAACTTCTGTCCATGTTTGGTACAAATCCAGGATAGTTTAAGAAAGTTATTAAAATTTTAAAAACTTTAACCACAGAGTGAATGTAATGTTTCCTGGCAGAAAAACTAAGTCCATTTATAAGTAAAATACGGAAAAACAGGATTTTTTTTTTTCAAATTTACTTCTGGATACTATCTTATAATCATAAACAAGCTTCTGTCTAAGTTTGGTAGAAATCCAGGATAATTTAAGAAAGTTATTAAAATTTCAAAAACTTTAACCACAGAGTGAATATTTGTGGACGCCCCCGACGCAGACAGAATGTATGATCGCTATGTCTCACTTTTTCGACAAAAGTCGAAGGCTCGACAAAAATGACAAAGTTGAACTATCTCACAAAAGAGCAAATGTCAATAATAAAACTGTTATCACAGAGATATGTCTCGCCTTTTTGTAATTTTGATAATGCAAATGTTGAAATTAAAATAGCAATACTTTATCATGTAAGTTATGCAAATATTCAAAGTCGATGAACCATGACTGAAGTTACATGGCTGAACAATCTCCATGGAATGAGATGTGCCAATGCTAATACAACTGCATACCAAATACCACTGACTTATTATAAGTTGTTCCCTTTAAACAAACCTAAACACAAACATTAACTTGTAAACTATGTAAAAGTTTCAAAGTCAATGAATCATGATCAGGGGTGGGGCTATATAATCTCCATGGTAACGATATTTGCAAATGCCAATACATTTGCATACCAAATATCATTGACTTAACATTAGCAGTTCATCTTAAACTGATCTAATCACAAACTAATACATGTAAACTAAGCAAAAGTTTCAAAGTCAATAGACCATGAATGAGGGGGCGGGGCCAAATATTCTCCATGGAAATGAGATGTGCTAATGCTTATACAACTGAACACAAATTAACATTGGCCTACCACTAATGGTTCCCCTTGAACTGACCTAATCACAAACTAATACATGTTAACTTAGCAAAATTTTCAAAGTCCATAGACCATGACTAAGGGGGCGGAGCCAAATAATCTCCATGGAAATGAGATATGCTAATGCTTATACAACTGCATGCCAAATATCATTGACCTACCACTAGTGGTTTCCCATAAATTGACCTAATCACAAACTAATACATATAAACTATGAAAAGTTTCAAAGTCAATAGACCTTGACTGAGGGGGCGGGGCCAAATAATCTCCATGGTAATGAGATGTGCCAATGCTAATACAACTGCATACCGAATATCATTGACCTACCACTAGTGGTTCCCCATAAATTGACCTAATCACAAACTAATACATGTAAACTATGAAAAGTTTCAAAGTCAACAGACCTTGACTGAGGGAGCGGGGCCAAATAATCTCCATGGTAATGAGATGTGCCAATGCTAATACAACTGCATACCAAATATCATTGACCTACCACTAGTGGATCACCATAAATTGACCTAATCACAAACTAATACATGTAAACTATGAAAAGTTTCAAAGTCAATAGACCTTGACTGAGGGGGCAGGGCCAAATAACCTCCATGGTAATGAGATGTGCCAATGCTAATACAACTGCATACCAAATATCATTGACCTACCACTAGTGGATCACCATGAACTAGACCTAATCACAAACTAATACATATAAACTATGAAAAGTTTCAAAGTCAATAGACCTTGACTGAGGGGGTGGGGCCAAATAATCTCCATTGTAATGAGATGTGCCAATGCTAATACAACTGCATACCAAATATTATTGACCTACCACTAGTGGATCACCATGAACTAGACCTAATCACAAACTAATACATTGTTGTCGCCGACGCCGGAAACAGCATACCTATGTCTCGTTTTTTGACTCCGTCAAGGCGAGACAAAAATCAAAACCCTGACTACATGCACGCCTTCAACATATGTTCAAACAGCCAGCAAAGTGAAAACGTCCTAGCATTCAAACTGTAGGAGGAGTTATCTGGAATAACTATATACCCATAATGGGACGGACGGAAGGACAGACGGACGGACAGAAGGACAGACAGAAGGACAGACAGAAGGACAGACGGACGGATGGGAGTAAAACAATATGCCCCCCAACTTTTAGTTGCAGGTGCAAGGGCATAACAAGAAATTATTGTAACAGGATGCTGTTACGAAGTCTCCCAAACGAAGCCCCCATAATTTGTAATTCCCAGGGTCGCCTGACATTGGGCAACGTCCAGTGAAAATTGGTTTGGTCCAGTAAAGTTATATGCATTAGTGATGCCTGGGGACTTACCCTGTATATCATTCAAATCATCTTGGCATGACAAACCAGAATATATATGGTTTAGGGGTGGGGATCTCAACCATTTACAAGATACTAGAACATTGGGGGTGGGGGGAACCCCTGGGGACTGACCCTATACGTCATTCAAATGTTCGTTACATGACGAACAGGAATATATATGGTTTAGGGGTGGGGATCTCAACCATTTACAAGATATTAGAACATTGGGGGTGGGGGGAACCCCTGGGGACTGACCATATACGTCATTCAAATGTTCGAGACATGACAAATAGGAATATATATGGTTTAGGGGTGGGGATCTCAACCATTTACAAGATATTATAACTTTCTCAAATGGCAGGGGGTCAGGATGACCCCTGGGGACTAACCCTGTATATCATTCAAAACATCTTAGCATGACAAACCAGAATATATATGGTTTAGGTGTGGGGATCTTGACCACTTACAAGATATTAGAACTTTTTTAAATGGCATGGGGTGGGGGTGACCCCTGGGGACTAACCCTGTATTTCATTTGATTTGCTTTATCATGACAAACCAGAATATATATGGTTTAGGGGTGGAGATCTCGACCATTTACAAGATATTAGAACTTTCTCAAATGGCAGGGGGTCGGGATGACCCCTGGGGACTAACCCTGTATATCATTCAAACCATCTTAGCATGACAAACCAGAATATATATGGTTTAGGGGTGGGGATCTTGACCACTTACAAGATATAAGAACTTTTTTAAATGGCATGGGGTGGGGATGACCCCTTGGGACTAACCCTGTATTTCATTTGATTTGCTTTATCATGACAAACCAGAATATATATGGTTTAGGGGTGGGGATCTTGACCACTTAGAAGATATTAGAACTTTCTTAAATGGCATGGGGTGGGGGTGACCCCTGGGGACTAACCCTGTATTACATTTGATGTGCTTTATCATGACAAACCAGAATATATATGGTTTAGGGGTGGGGATCTCGACCATTTACAAGATATTAGAACTTTCTCAAATGGCAGGGGGTCAGGATGACCCCTGGGGACTAACCCTGTATATCATTCAAACCATCTTAGCATGACAAACAAAAATATATATGGTTTAGGGGTGGGGATCTTGACCACTTGCAAGGTATTGGAATTTTCTTAAATGGCAGGGGGTGGGGGTGACCCCTGGGGACTAACCCTGTATTTCATTTAATGGGCTTTATCATTTAGAATATTTTCAATCAAAAAGATTGTGTTTATCACAAACGGTTTTCAATTTATAATCATTTGAAAATTAAAAAAAATAAAATCCCATAGGGTTCTATAGTAAAACCCTCTTTTCTTTTTGCCCCTCAAAGTACCCCTTTATAAACCCTATTGCACAAACAAAACCCTGATTGCACAACTAGACATGTTAGTCTAACATATTGTGAAACCCTAAGTTAATCTGACAAGCGGTTTTGGAGAACGGGTGCGGACAAGTTCAAATTTAAAAGCGGCGGAAGAGGAAGAAGAAGAAGAAGAAGAAGAAGAATAATAATAATAATAATAATAAGAACTGAGCAAAAACAATAAGTCTTCCCAAACTTCGTTTGGGAGACTTAAAAAAGCAACTTGGGAGTTGCCAAAGAGGCATAGCAACAGAACTATGAATGAAACTATTGATGTCTTTTCCTTCTTTATAATCAAATTGGAAATTAAAGGTTCCAAGGATATTAAATCAATCTCATTGTTAATAAAAGAAGAATGGGTCTAAGGACATGAATGCCCCAACTAAAGCTTTGCAATTTTTCAAATTAAAAAGAGGCATAACTCTAGAATGGTGAATGACTCACTGCCCAAATTCAAACTCTGTCTGCATGTTGTGTTTTTTAGCATTGTGTATGAGTTTTATAAAATTTGGGTGAGGCAAACTTAAGTTAGAGTGCAGAAACAAACAAATTTGAAATTTTCCAAGTTATAAAGGGGCATACCTCTAGAACGGTAAATGAATCACTGCCAAAATTCAAACTCTGTCTACAAGTTTTGGTTCTTAGAATTGTGAATGAGTTTTTATAAAATTTGGATGAGAAAAACTTAAGTTAAAGTACAGAAAACGAACAAATTTGCAGTTTTCCTAGTTATAAAGGCCTAAAAAGGGCATAACTCTAGAACGGTAAGTGACTCACTGTTCAAAATGCAACTCTGTCTGCGAGTTTTGGTTCTTAGCATTGTGTATGAGTTTCATAAAATTTGGATGAAAAAAAGATTAAGTAAGGGTGCGAAAATGAAAATGGGAAAGACGGAAGGATGGAACACTTAAATTCCCCCGTTGCCTACGACAGGGGCATAAAAAATATCTCTTGACAAAAATGTCTAGCAAAATGAATTGTTTTCTAGAAGTTCATTACACTTTACATGGAGCATACTTTTAACATGTTTGAAATAATGTTAAACTGTTTTCTGATTAAAAATGAAATATACTTAGATAATTCTGATGTTAATAGTTATAAGCATGAAAGGAGGTATGTTTTTTGGTAAAAAGAAAACAATATTTCCTGTGAAAAAGGATGAGGGGTGACTCTTCCTAAATGAAGGTATACACAGAGGATGTGCTGGTATTAGTAACTCAGAATTAAAATTTTAAAAACTCAGCTAAATCTGAAAGCAGAAAACCGATTTTTTTTTAAGTTGATGGTACATGTCTTATTATTGAAATCACAGTCAACTATCTAACCTCTGACAGAAACAAATGCCACAAGAGCACAAAACCTGCATTTAGAGTAGTATAGTTATGTTGGGTTACTTTATGGTAAAAACTGGACTGTTTGATCCTTCTTATGATTCTAACTAATGACAAAGCATTAATGCTTCTAAAACGTGGTAGATCAACTAATATATATGTACCTGGGTAAAGGTCACTGAAGTCATCCTTATCATCTTTATCACCATGGATACTATTGTCTGCATCTGACATTATTTCTGTATCTGATATATTCTGTTTCTGTTTTGGTCTGAAGAGGGGTTTGTAAGTTTCCCCTGTCTTCTGACATTCTTCCCCTATTTAGAGACAAAAGTAAATAGCATTGTGCTTTAGCTGATAGAGATACTTAATCTGTTTACTGTGGATTCATTTATTTTTGTGGATACCAATTTTTGTGGATTGAGGAAAAATTGTATTATTGTGGATACAAATGTACTTGCTTTCTTGGTTTTAACAAATTCTCCTTGAAGTCCATTGGAATTTAATTTGATTGATTGATTGTTGGTGTTTAAAGTCACTTTCAGCAATTATGGAGGCTTCTTTGTATTGGTGGAGGAAGCCAGAATGCCAGGAAGGAAAAACTGACCATCAGGAAAGCTGGCAATCCTAGTCTACTAATATTGCTGTAGAAGGCACCTACCACGAGCAGGGTTCAAACTCACAACCTCAGTGTCAACAGGCTAGTTCAGTTTTGTTGAACACTTAGATTTGTGGTTCACTCATACCAAACAAAATCCGCAAGTAATTGGTACCCCACAAAATAGAATGAGTTCATAGTATATAAAAGATGTGACAGTAGAAATCTATTGTTTCACAGTTATTGTGTATCCCTATTAATGTCTTGCCTATAATAATACAAATTGTGCGTATAAAAAAACCCTTTAGTTTCTGGTAACATATACAGTAGAACAGATAAAAACACAAAGATTTCATATCACTGTAACAATCATACAGGGTTCAAAAAGTTCAAATTATTGTATGAATTTCCAACTCAAAAATTCTGTAATTGTACAGAAATAAGGTTCAACTGCCCCAAGCAGAAGACCTACCGTAACATGGTTTTGTTGATTCTGTTCCCTGACTTTTAAGGTTTTTTATGCTCTCAAAGATTTTAAACATTTAGTGTGCAGCATACCTGATGTTGACACAGAGATATATCTTACCTGTATGTAATTTTGATAGTATAATGAAAATGTTGAAATTAATAGATCAACACTTAACATGTAAACTTTGCACAATTTACAAAGCATTGACCATGATTGAGGGATTGAGGCCAAATGATGGTCATGGGAACAATATGTGCTAATGCTGATACAACTACATATAAAATATCATTGACTGCCATAAGTGGTTCTACTTAAACTGACCTAATCACAAAATTTTACATGTAAACAGGTTTTAAATGAAACATGACTGAGGGGGCAGGGCCATATAAAATCCTCATGGAAATGAGATGTGCAAATGCTAATACAACTGCATACCTTATATCATTGACTTAACATTAGTGGTTCCCCTTAAATTGACCTAATCACAAACTTTGACCAATTGTTGAAGTGGCAACAGGAAACAGTAAACCTCTCTCAGCTCAGCAGCATCATTGAGCCGAGATAAAAAAAATTCTCTTGATGGCAAATATTCACAGTGAATGCTTGTGAATGAGGGTGTTTCATTCTGATGCATATCTCTGTATTTTCAAAGATATATTTACAAAAATTGTCAACCAGAGCATTATCACCTCCAATCACTACCATCCAGCAATCATCTTATTTCACAGAGAATAATAAAACACCACAAACAATGATTTATAACTGAATCATCTTGTGTGTACTATAAAGAATACAAATGATCTTAGTAAAAAAAAAACCAACACATGTGCAGGCTATTGTTTAAAAATTTGAAGGAATTGGATCATTTAAACTTTGTAAACAATTTCTACACATAACTACAGCTGCAAAATAAATATTATTACTTTCCAAGGTGAGAGGCCCATACAGCAGGTTTTCTAAAAAGTTTGTTTGGAACAACTTACATTTGTGTAAAGCTTTCTTGAATCTCCTGCCTTCAAGATGTTTCTGTATATGTTGTGGAGTATTATTAAGATGTCGATATGTCAATGTACAAAACAACTGATGGCTGAAAATAACAGATGAAACTATTAAGAAATATCTTAATAAATTGGTTCGCTGAGCGCAGCTGGATACGACCACAGATGTCAAACCCTGAAAAGTGGGGGCCAAAATGGACACAATATTCACGCTTGATACAGGTCTGAATTTGGAAAGTTATTAAATTTTTGACACATAATAGATTTCTGACACAGAATAATTGTAGTCAAAGAACTTCAAATTGGTTATATGATTTGAATTTATATTCAATTTTTTTCTTTTGTGCAATACACTATGTGAATTGACCCCCCCCCCCCCCCCAAAAAAAAAAAAACAAATTTACCCCGTTTTTTTGCATTTGTGCAATACACTATGCTGTTGAATATTAACCCCCAAAAAAAAATATTTGAAGAAATTTTCTTTTAATTTCTGAAATCTGAAATGAGAAAAATTGTCCCCCTCCAATTTTTTTCACCTCCACCCTTTCCCTTATTCCAAAAAATAATTCTTTCCCTCAAGTTATGGTCAGTATCTCAGACAATCATCATTTCTTAATACATAATTTACAAGCAGTGTAAGGGAGGTAATCAAACATTGTTATTTAAATTGATTTGGATTTGGATTTTGATTTGGATTACCTCCCTTACACTGCTTTTAAATTGTCTCAATTGTCCTTTAACCAGAAAAATCCTTGTTTTTCCCCTTTTTTTGCCCCTAATTCCTAAATGGTTTGAGCCATAACCCCCCAAAGTCAATCCTAATCATCCCTTTGTAGTATGGAAACTTGTGGTATAATTTCAGAGAGATTCATACACTTTAACACAAGTAATGCCTGGAAACTACAAAAATGCTTATTTGGGCCCCTTTTTTGGCCCCTAATTCCTAAACAGTTGGGACAATAACCCCCAAAATCAATCCCAACCTCCCTTTAGTGGTTATAAACCTTGTGTTAAAATTTTATTGATTTCTATTTACTTATACTAAAGTTATTATCCGGAAACCATCGGTCTTCGGACGACGCTGACGACGACGACAACGTGATACCAATATACGACCAAAAAATTAAAAATTTTTGCGGTCGTATAAAAACCGACAACATCTTGAACATGCTTTTTGTTTTGTCAATGAATCAATCTAAAATCAGGGTTTATTTTTCTTGTTTAAATTTTTTTATATTTTGTTATATGGGGGCTTTTATATATATACATACTGATGAAGGATATTTGTTATCCTAAATATTTATCGATACTTGTATTTCCTATTTCCTTTTTTAATATTGGTGTTGTTTTGTACACATTTTTAGATGTATATTTATTTTTTTTATTGTGTACAGTATCATTTTTCATAATGATCCAGTGCCCTCGTTAGAAATTTGTTGACTAATATCTAGACATTAGTTTTATACATATATATTATATATATATGTATAAAAATACTATACAGTATTGATTTTGGTCATTGTTGAAGGCCATACAGTGACCTATAGTTGCTTACATCTTAGTCATTCCGTCTCTGGAGGATAGTTGTCTCATTGGCAATCATACCACATCTTCTTACTATTTAATATACCGGTACATATATTACATATACATAAGTAATGTACTATCAAAAAGATCTGCACAGTAGAATCCAAAACCTTAGGTCAGAATGAAATGACTATTTTTTGTGGAAGGATGTCATCCATGTACCCTTCTAGATGCAATGATAAACCGAGTTATTAAATGATTGTATTTTACTTGGTATCTGAGACATGAACACCGATATAATGCTAAAAATGTTAGTGAACCCTAACAAAGAAGTCTAGAGTGGTAAATATCAAAGTGCTTGTGAGCACTAAGGGAGGCATAATGATTGCTTTCACTTTACATTGTGAATTTAAATACAAACAATGCATTTTATGAAGCAGAGAAACTTATCTAGCCAATATTTTTAAATTGAGTTATCTAACTTTGTCCATTAGTGCAACAGATTAAAATATATATAAAATATGCACTACTTTTTGCAATTTGTGTATTTTAAACAAATATTTTTTTCTTAATCACTGTTAATAGTTATGATAAAACACATACAAGTAATTTTGCAAATAAATTTTATATAGCTATTGTACATGATTTGTATTGGTTTAGAATTGTTACATGATAAGGCTAAGAAATGAAATCAAATGCCTAATTTTGAAATGATTTTCAAAAAACTCTTGTGATTTTAAGGGACGAATAATGACTTGCATCATATCCATCCTTTTAGAATATTAAAAGTCCTACCTCCTTCCCTTTTTTATACTTTGAGTCAGATGCTGTTTTTCATACTGATAATTATGTTTTTCCAAAAGTTTTTCAAATTTCTTTCCTTTAATGTAACTTTCCAGGGCATCTAGACGACAAGGCATTTCATGGCCTGACAGTTCACATCTTATCTGAAATAAACAAGTAATGAAGTTGTAATACTGAAGATAGTAGCATATTTTATTTTAAAACATTCATACATGTAGCATATACTCATTTGAGAATCATATCTTAAAGATTAATTTTTATAGAATTTACATAAATCAGTAATAAGCAAGTTTTCTTACAGAAAAATTTTCATTAACAAGATTTAAATTGGAATAAGAAACAAAAATGAGCAGATTATTAAATAACAGCAAATTATGGATGTAACATTCTTTTTCGTGCAGGCCACCAGAATATTATTACAATATATGTAAATAATTCATTTCGTAATGTCTAATTGGTTGAAAAATTTCTCTTATACATGTAAATACATCTGCATTCCCAAACATAGGTAATCTACGAGTACGAGTTGTCCTCATCCCAAAATGACTTACATGAAACTAGGAATTATTTGAATCTGGAATAATTTTGAATCCTGGAAAATTGATAGGAAATGTATGATGTAAACAAACCAATCTAAAGAGAGTTAGCCATGCGTGCATGGCTAATGTCAATTTTACTTTCACTGATTATTAACCCCCCTTAGCCATGCATGCATGGCTAACCCTTCTAAATTGGGTTAGTTTTCATCATAGATTTCTTATCAATTTTCAGGAATTTAAAATGATTCCATATTCAAATAATTCCTTGTTTACATGTTTTAAAGACATTCTTAGGTGGAAAAAATGGTGTTTGTCTACACCAAATTAACACAAGAGTGGACACGCTGAAATGTCTCACCTTCTTTACTAACCATTGATATTATGTTGATAGTCCTAAATGAAAGCTTTACTACAACTATTACATAAACTTAACATGATCCAAGAAAATGAAGTCAAGGTCATATAAACCAAACAAGAAATACATGTACACCTTACAATCATTCAATACACTAAATATAGTTGACCTATTGCTTATAGTTTCTAAGAAACAGACTTAACCAAGAAAACTAAACATTGACCAATGAATCGTGAAAATGAGGTCAAAGTCAGATGAACCATGCCAGGCAGACATGAACAGCTTACAATCCTTCCATACAACAAATATAGCTGACCTATTGCTTATAGTTTAAGAAAAACAGACTGAAACACATAAACTTAACACTGAGCAATGAACTGTGAAAATGAGGTCAAGGTCAAATAAAACCTGCGAGACTGACGTGTACATCATGGAATATTTCCATACACCAAATATAGTTGACTTATTGCATAATAGTATAAGAAAAAAGACCAAAACTCAAAAACTTAACTTTGACCACTGAACCATGAAAATGAGGTCAAAGTCAGATGACACCTGCCAGTTGGACATGTACACCTTACAATCATTCCATACACCAAATATAGTAGACCTATTGGATAAAGTATAAGAAAAACGGACCAAAACACAAAAACTTAACTATAACCACTGAACCATGAAAATGAGGTCAAGGTCAGATGACACCTGCCAGTTGGACATGTACACCTTACAATCATTCCATACACCAAATATAGTAGACCTATTGGATAAAGTATAAGAAAAACGGACCAAAACACAAAAACTTAACTATAACCACTGAACCATGAAAATGAGGTCAAGGTCAGATGACACCTGCCAGTTGGACATGTACACCTTACAATCATTCCATACACCAAATATAATAGACCTATTGCATACAGTATAAGAAAAACAGACCAAAACACAAAAACTTAACTATAACCACTGAACCATGAAAATGAGGTCAAGGTCAGATGACACCTGCCAGTTGGACATGTACACCTTACAATCATTCCATACACCAAATATAATAGACCTATTGCATACAGTATAAGAAAAACAGACCAAAACACAAAAACTTAACTATAACCACTGAACCATGAAAATGAGGTCAAGGTCAGATGACACCTGCCAGTTGGACATGTACACCTTACAGTCCTTCCATACACCAAATATACTAGACCTATTGCTTATAGTATCTGAGATATGGACTTGACCACCAAAACTTAACCTTGTTCACTGATCCATGAAATGAGGTCGAGGTCAAGTGAAAACTGTCTGACAGGCATGAGGACCTTGCAAGGTACGCACATACTAAATATAGTTATCCTATTACTTATAATAAGAGAGAATTTAACATTACAAATAATCTGAACTTTTTTTTCAAGTAGTCACTGAACCATGAAAATGAGGTCAAGGATATTGGACATGTGACTGACGGAAACTTCGTAACATGAGGCATCCATATACAAAGTATGAAGCATCCAGGTCTTCCACCTTCTAAAATATAAAGCTTTTAAGAAGTTAGCTAACGCCGCCGCCGCCGCCGCCGCCGGATCGCTATCCCTATGTCGAGCTTTCTGCGACAAAAGTCGCAGGCTCGACAAAAAACAATTGAATCGGCAAGAGATCTACCATATGATAGGAAATGGTATATACAAATCATCCATATGATAGGAAATGGCATACATAAATAAATCTTCCATATGATAGGAAACAGTCAGGGGACTTACTTAAATGAATGATTTCTAAATCACTGATTCAAGTAACATTTTGTCCACAAATGTTGGAAGTAAGAGTTGTCTTTCTTTAATAATCACCTATTTAAGTAGTAAAAATAAATCACTAGACTAAAGTGATTTAATTTTATTGTAGCTTTAAATATACAATACTAATGATCCAGGGACTAATTATGTTTCTAAAATTATCAGAACCAACTTATGTATTGATACGATGACCGGTCATGTCAGATGACCTTGAATCTGAATCTGGGATAATGACATGAAAATCACCTGTTTAAGTATCATACCTCTATTTTCTTCCAAAAAATCACTTCTTTAAGTAATATTATTTTAATAACCCCCACTAATTTCAACACCCCAGAACAGTGAAATTTTGAACAGTAACATTTTATTACATAATCTGTAAGATGAAACCTTGAATTTTACAGGAAAATACTCCCACTGCTGGGAAAAATCTGTTAAGAAAGTATTAGTTCATTAACCCTTTAGCCCCAATCCCGCCTGTAGGCGTGATGGCGACAACCATTCTTTGATGGCCCGTATGACCCTCCATACCTTTTTTGAACTGCCCCAGCTGAACTGTCATGATAGCAGGGACTTCAAGCAGTTCATGGTCCATAAACTCTTCTGAGATGTCTGTTCATGAAAATATGGCACTTTGAAAGCTGTTTAAGAGTTCAAAATCGGAAAAACGTGAAAAGTAGCCAAAATCAGGTGGGGGTGGGCATCTTTTGATCCGAAAATAGACGGAAAATTAACATTTTTCAGTGGGGTTGGGTTCAAACCCACGAGAAAATATCAAGAGTCTGCTAATTTGCATATAATTTGCATATGATTGCAAATTTTAGAAAATGCCTGATTTTCCAGAAATTAAGTTAAATTGAGTTAAGTCAAGCTTTCATTATAGCATTTTTTCAACAAATATAGAATTCTCAGCTAGATGATTGCATCAAAGGCATAAACCTTGCTATTTAAAAGAAGCAAAAGGTTCATTTTTTTTCAATTTTACTAATAATAAGATACAATCTAAACCTATATGTTTAAAATTTTGGTAAAACTACAAAATTTCCAATTTGCTACTTAAATAAATGATTTTATAATTTAAATCACTTATTTCAGTAATTCCCCTGACTGGGAAATGGCAAACATAAATCTTCCATATTGTATGAAATGGCATACATGTAACAAAACAAAAATACTTGATTGAAGATGTTCAGCTGGAGATCCTCAGATCAATAGCTGTACTTTTATATTTCCACTATTAGGGGGGTATCAATAGAACTATCATTATTGTTATCAAGAAAAATGAAAACAAATCATTGTTATTTTTTTTTTTTTGGTAAGTTATTATATTATATTTATCAATGCATGATTATTCATTGTAATAAATCTGCCCCTTTGTGGGCAAATTGAAAAACATCTGTTAAGATCTTCTATAAGGTTTGAAATGGCATACATATAAATCTACCATGAGGTATGAATCCATGAAAACTCACACCAACTTTCTACCAACTCGACCCACATTCTACTTCCAGCAGGATTTAACTCTTTTACATGAGTGGGGCAAGTTTGCAGGCCTAATATTTAGTCCAAATAATTATGACATCTTGAAAGGCTATTTCAATTTTGTGCTGTGACAACTTACTACGATATATTATAGAAAGCCGCCGAATCTGGGTCTACTCGCCCTGATTCATGTTCGCCTTTGTACCTGTTCGCCCTAATACCTGTTCGCCCAGGGTCCATTGGCCCTGATTTTTATTTTTTTCTTATTGTTGTCTAGTTGCATAATGTTTATCATTTGAACAGAATATGTTAGAGCCTTTGTTGAAAAATTGGCTAAAATTTGTATTGCTGCAACCAAATAATTATTTTCCTTTGATTTGCATAGAATAATACTGGAATACAATGTAATTATCTTTATATATATTTGTTAACAATTTCAATAATTCTAGTCAGTCAATTTATGCAGTATACTAATAAATGAACTTATAAATCCTTTTCATGTTTCACAATTCGTACATCATTGTTTTTACTCATTCCAAGCTTAGTAGTTTATCAAAACAAAATGTTGTTTTTATTAGGCCAACTAAAATTAATTAAATTTTCATCCAGTTTTTTTTTTTTAAATGGGGCGGGTGTGAGAATTTTATTTTTTAATTTATATTTCCTCCTAAACCCTTTTGTGACGTGTTGTTCATATACAAGGGTAATAAAAAGCTTATTGCATGTATATATAAGGAATTCTACATTATTTTTCAAATTCTTAAATTAATATTTATGATTGGCAATTAACCACAGTGTTCTACATGTAATTGCATGCCGCTTTAGTAAATAGCAAAAACGTGGAGAAAAGTTCCCTCATGTTTAGACTACCTAGATCAAATTTATTTTGCTTTCTAAGCTATGATTTGAAGTGCCCATAAAATGAAGCATATGCATTGATCTGCATTGGTATGCAAAACAATTATTATGAGTACTGAGTGAAATGA